CAAGTCATCGACTCGCTATGCACAAAACTCATTAGTGAATCGCTTGCAGAGTGTCTTCAATAAAAAATTTTACAACCTAGATATATTCAACACAAATAAAGATAAATTCAAAAGTGGGGTATTAAAAGTATTGGAGGATGAAATGGCATCTTAACACACTCACTCACTCACTCACTCACTCACTAACACACACACACACACACACACACACACACACACACACACACACACACACACACACACACACACACACTGACACGCGCGCGCGCGCACACATGCACACGCACACAAACGCACAAGCACGCACGTAAAAAAAAATAATCCATAATAATGCCTAAGTATCAAAAGTTTTCATGTTTTCTACTGTCGTAATTTAAATAATTTAGCAGAATAATGTAAATCCAAATTGGCTTAAGGTTTAGTAATAAGATTTAGATATATTTAAAAAAAAGTGCTGTGGATTTTGTTACAATAAAAAAAAAAAAAAAAAAAAAAAAAAAAGTTGACAAAAAAGCTCTGTATGGCGATGGATGACTCGCTGGCGCAGTTGCTAAGCTATTGGCTTCGGCGTCGAGGGTCGTGGGTTCGATTCCCACATGAGACAAGTATTTAGTTCTTTAAACTTAGCCAAAACCATAATCCACGTGTTGTGTCGACTTAACCTTTGTGGGATAAGGGCAGGGCAATGATGATGATGAAGAAAGGACGCTAGCAATGGGCTCATGTATCTTTGACCCTTGGGCAATCATTCTACTGTCGGATGTTTTTTTTTTTTATTTCTTTATGTTTAAGGGACTTTTGCGTAATATGCATGTCAGTCCCATCGTGCCCTCCTCTTATGTTATACAACTTTGATTTATTACTACTAATACTGTCGGATGTTATGGAACTGAAGCAAAACTTTACGGTGGTAGGGCCACGCAGCAGCCACGGCTGTTGCACGAATGGGCAGACTCGTCCGGTTAAGTAGCACGACCTCACAGAAGACCGGCGTAAAGTGGAAGTATGACAAATACTATCGCGTTTCGTCTGGTGGGTGATTTGGCCGGAGCCCAATTTTCAAAAGGTTGTCAACGTATCTGAAACCCTCGGGCGTCAGATGTCCATGGGTGGCGGTATTCACTTACCAACAGTTGAACAGTCTGCTCGCTTGGCAACTTTTCACATAAAAAAAGTTCACCTCGAATATGTACTCGTCATCGTCGTCCTCATCATCGCTGGACTCCTCCCTTCTCCTCTCTCTGACGCTCCTCAGCACCTGCTTCTTCTTGCTTCTGATGCCGTCATCGCCTAACATCCTCTGCGGGGGTAGAAGTTCGAAATTAATGTGCCAGTTTATCAATTCAGCTTGCAGTATTAATTCGACGTGTGGTAATACAAAGAGTCGTCCATATAAAAATATTCTGAGTAAATTTTTTGACGGTGTCGTTTTTCTAATTGTTATTAAATTGAAAACAATATGATTTTCAGTCTTATCATAAAAGAAAACAACGATTACAGTATCACGGTGGTAGGGCCACGCAGCAGCCTCGGCTGTTGCACGAATGGGCTGGTCCGTCCGGGTAAGTACCATGACCTCACAGAAGACCAGCATAAAGTGGAATCATGACAAATACTTTCACGTTTCGTATGGTGAGTGAGGTAGCCGGAGCCCATTTTTCAAAAGGTTGTCAACGCATCTGTAACCCTCGGGTGTGGCAGATGTCCATGGGTGGCGGTATTCACTTACCATCAGGTGAACAGTCTGCTCTTTTGGCAACTTTTCTCATAAAAAAAAAGTATGAGGCATGAAACAAGAAAAATTATTAGTAAAAATTATTATAAAAAAAACTGGTGAAAGATTATTTCTTATAAAAATAACGCACGAATAATATAGTAAATAAGTTGTTTTATAATTAAATTAATTACTAATTTATAATTCTTATTTTGTATTTTTACGATAATTTAAATGACCTGCGCTTAAAGATAACACAATCATGTTGGAGAATTATTTTAAAATGCGGAACCAGTATTCTTGTACCATACCGGCAGGGCATGTGTCCAAATCTCAAATACTGCGCCAAAGGTGCCACTAGTTTACATGGAAGATAACCGTCACCCAGTTGCCTTGTAAATGCTCACCAGCAATTCATCCGTGTCGTGACCATCATCGTCCGAGTGCTTTTCTCCCTGGTCCGCCTCACTCTGCCTTTCTTCCTGCTGCTTAGTTTGCTCCTTCTGTACCATCCTGCCATCCGTCTTCCTGATAAGAAACGCACCCAGTTCCTCGGGGAATTCCTTGTCCTGAAATGGTTTCAAATTATTACAAGATTATCATAACACTTGGATTATATTCTGAGTAATATTAACTTTAATAGATATAAGTAAAATAAACTAACAGCCTATACATATCCCACAGCTGGGCAAAGGCGTCTTTTACAGAGGGTATCAGGGCATAGTCCACCACGCGGCCCCACTGCGGATTGGCAAAGTACACATATTTTCGAAATAGTTTTTTTGTTATTATTTCGAAAATATGCAGGTTTCCCCACGATGTTTCCCTTCACCGTTAAGCAAGACTTTATCACATAGTCAACACTTAAAATTTCCAATTTAATGTTACTGGGACCGGGGATTGAACTCTGGTTGCTCGAGTATATTGAATTAAAGCAGCAAGCATCTGGACACAGCTATAACAACTTAATAGATATACTAAACAGGTTCTCTGTCACCTAGGGGAAAACAGTGTTAAGTAGTGTACAACTTAATAACATTGCAAAGTATATACTTGCATTATTAGCATGTACTACTTAGTAATATTTAATGTTTCTCATTTTACAAAATAAATAAAAAAAAAAACAGAAAATCCTTTTAATTTTATTCAAATCAAAACAACTATTTACATCCTAAATAAGGCTTTTGTTGTAAAAGCCTTTTGTTGCAAATTATCTTGCATTCTGATGAAACTAAATTCATAAAAACAATGTAGCTAAGATCAAAATCTATCATTATATACTGTCCAATGAAAGTGAAGTTAATATCATTTTAAACTTTATTAGGTATTATATGAATCAAAACTAGGAAGAAAAATCATAAAGGGGTAAATAGAGGCTAATTCTGTCTGTGCTTCACCAATCTTGAATCATATTAAATGTGACAATGTCTTTTTGTCATAGGTATACAACCTATAAATGATGGAAACCTAATCAATAGGCAGGTATTCCATCATACAGAAGAAGGTACAAGAATTCCAATCCACAACCTTCTGATTGTAAAGCCACTATGTTGCATTGACCCCAAAAAATATTTATCAGACGTCATCTTATGCTTTTAAAAATTGATGAAACATAATCTTTGAAACATGTCTAAATTTGAGAAGTGGTCATATGAGCATGCCTCAACACGTGTGGAGTTGCCTAAGCCTTGCCAGCTCTTATGATGGATATAAGCTCTCTTCCACCATGTTTAAATTGTGTCGGAAACATTATGAAAACAATTACTACCTGTGAAGTTTCCAAGTTGTTAAGAGCCTCCTCTATGTTACCCTCTGGATCGTTCTCATGGCCATCTTGTGCGTTAGAATCTCCGGTGTCATGGTAGTGGTTGTGGTTATCCATGGAGTCATTCATGCTGGGCATTGTGTCTTCGTGGCTCATGTTGGCATAGTCACTCTGCTCATTTTCTGCCTGAAAAAATACCAAAAATTACACAATTAACAATAATATAAGCAATGAAAATTACTTTATTTACATAAATGTAGATAATCGTAGCATTTGGTTGTTTGTTGTATAAAGGTAGGCCTACTAGTCACGTTTTTTATTTAAGAATTAAAATATTTCAATAAAAATTCAAACATTGGCAACTTACATAACATGCTATGGCACAAGACATTAATCACATCAATAACAAACTTACAACACTGTTTACTAAGAGCAGTTATGACAAACAATGAAATATAGTTATATTACATAATTAACTTAAGGATTAAAAAGCTAAAGTGGCAATGGGCTAGCCACAAAGTATGTCCACTATTGGACAATAAAGGTTCTTAAAAGAGAGCTTTACATAGGTAGAAGATTTAAGTTGCAAGCTACACAATGTTGCGGGAAGCCAATGGATACAAATGTCTAAAGGTTCATGTTTTGTAGTGGTTTTTGTAGAACAGACTTGAGATAATGATGAAGATAAAGAGGTGTCATACATAGAAATAAGAATGAGAGAATGAGTCACCAAATTGGTCACTTAATAAGGATATTAACTATCAAAATTAATTATGTCTGCAGACATACATGTGGAAGGTGTAAAAAATTGTTCAAAAGGAATAGACATACTCTGCCTACCTATCAAATCATATATGTCTCTTATATAATACTCACAGTGGGGTTGTAGTCTTCATCGGTTAGTACGTCTTCACTGAGCCACTCCTCCTGCCCTTCTTCCATCTCTTCGCCTTGTTCAGTGTTCTGAAATGGGTGCATTTTAATTATCAGTTTATATGGTTAAGCTAACAGTCAACCGAAAATTTAATTGACATGCAACTAATGGTCCACTTTCCTTATAACTTAATTTACACGCAACTAATGAATGGTCCACTTTCCTTATGTTAACATTTTCAATCAGTATTGATAATTTTTAGATACGTACTGTAGTTAAAGTAAATTCAAAGCGTTTATCTAACTAATTTTTGTTTTTAACGTTATGCGTGACAATTATAACAAGATAATTGAAACATCAATTTCTCTTTGAGTTATGAGGCATACAAACCAATATGTCTGTGAAACAATCGACAGGTTGGTTCGGTTTTATGTTAAAGTAGTGTTTTGGGAACATTTAGCGTTTTGCGGAAAGTCTACGGCGACCGTTTGTCGAGAGGTTTAACGATGGACTGTACAAGAGTCAAAACATCCAACATCCAAAACCCTCCTAATAGAGCATGCGCGTAGTAACGTAGCGGCGACATATTACGGTAAAGTGACGAACTAATATTTAATAATAATGGAAAAGTGAAATGCAAACTTACAGTATAGAGGAATTCTTAATTATTACATAAAAAAAAAAAACACCCTTCAAATATTCAATTCATGAGTTTATAAAGATGATTAAAATTTTATACAACGTATAGCACACATTCAAACAGTATAGATTCAAGTTACATATACGATGTACATCTATACGTTTTGTTTACTATGTTTACAGTCGGCAGACAACAGATAAATTTTGTTGAAAACACGGAAGAAAGGTTTTAGAGTTCACCTGTAATTTAACTATTTTAAAAGCCGGCTCCTCGCTATCAGACATTTTAATAATTGCCCTCTTAACAGTTTCTTATGTTAATCATTCACAAAGATTAATAGATTTATAATAAATACTAAAACATAACCTAAAACTACAGTAAGAATAGAGCTAAGGGGTAAGGTAAGGACAAGGGGAAGTAACTCCAAATTATAGACTCAATATTGCCCTAAAAAAAAAAATTCATAAAGATGGCGTTACCGTAACATAAGTTTTTCGTTCAATGACATCGTCAAAAATAGAACAAGACAAAACGCTTTAGAAAAGACCAAATGATAAAAGATGTCTTATTAAATAAATTTAGTTTTTAAGGTTATATACATTGGTATTTTAACCTAGACGCATTGTAACTTGATAACATGAGAGCTTAATAACATCTATTTTCTTACTGTGCTAAATACGTATTCTACAAATTTTCTTTGGCATATTTTACTTTACCTTCTGTTGTTAATTTTAGATCTTTCTTTTATGTTGCATTAGTGCCATTCTGGTCAGTTTTTGTTGGAAACAATTTTATAAAAACACGAAAGATACTGTTTCAAAACACGTACCTATGTGAGATATTTCTAGTTACCATGGCGTATAAGAGAAAAGGAGTAAGAGATATGAAATAGTGCCTATTTTACAGAAAAATTTACCGCAATAATTTAGACGTATAATAAGTCAATGGCGCTAATGTAGCATAAGAGGAAGGACTGATCGTTCTTTATATGGAGTGTAGCTTGTATCTTGTATTAACTGATGTTTTTGCTTTCAGTCCCGAGACTATTAAAGCTTCATCGGACGCAGAACCGGTGGGCTAGCCAGAACCCACGGGTTTGGACCCTCCGCTATGGGTAGGGTCGCGCATGTGCTCATGCGTGCGTTTAACTATGGTGTGTCATCTAAGGGCCGTCGAGATCGCGGTTCGGACCGAGACCCCGATGGCCGTCGACTGTGCACTTAGCTAATCGGTGGCTGGGAGCGGTGATAACCGCCTCCGAACGCGGGTGTACCTTGTGTACGTGTTGTGTTGGTCTCGCCGTGCTCGGAGGCGAGGGCGAACTAGTATGTTTGTCGTTGCAATAACTGTGGGTGTAGTGTTATTCGGCGGGACCCCCGGCGGTGGGTCCGACGTATCTAAGTCCCCATCCTCGACCTTGTCGATGAGAACGTTTCGCGGGCGACGCTTGTTGACGTTCGCGTATGTGTCGGGTTGGTGATTTGCAGCGCTTGCCACCAGAGGGTTGGGATGATGTTCGGCTCTATAGAAGAACCGTTTGGTCAGGTCTTTAAAATATTCGCCAATCGTCGGGAGTCTGCAATCGCTGTGAAGGTCGGCGTTGCGTTGATACCACTGCGCACCGGATGCGCGGCGGATGAAATTATTTTGTACTATTTGCAACTTGTACAAGCGAGCAGGGTGCGTGTGGGCGAAGGTCATACATGCGTAGGGCATAATAGGTCGTACGCAGGTCTTATATAATAATAATTTGTGCCTTAAGGGCATTTTACTTTTAGCGTTAGTTAAATTGTGTAGCCGGTCGGAGACGAACGCGGCTCTATTACGAACGTTATTAATGTGCGTAGTACATGACATACGCGAGTCGGAAGTGACTCCTAAGTATTTGACCTTTTTCTCCCAGGGGGCGGTTGGCCATAAAGGTATATTTGCCCCAACTTTCTGCATTGGCGAGGGCCATTATAAAGATGTGACGGGTAAGTATTTCGTGTGAAGTGAATCGCCACACTCTTTTCGGGATTTACTTCTATTCTCCATTTGCAGAACCAATCGCCGAGGCGGTCGGCGGCGCTTTGTAGTCGAGTGGTTAGTAGACTAAGGTTGCGGTCTGAATAAAAGCGCGAGATTGACGTGAGGGTCTTTAGGTTATATCGCTCGTGTAGAGCGTAAAGAGCAAAGGTGCGAGGCCTTGTGGAACGCCAGCCGTGAGACGGCGGCTTGTGGAGAGGGTTACCTCGACTCGATATCGAAAAGAGCGGTTCAACAGGAAGGCCCGGATGGTGTGTACGAGCCTATCTGGCATTTTGAGTGTGTACAACTTGTAAAGCAAGCCGCTGTGCCAGACCTTGTCGAATGCTTTTACGATATCGAAGAAAAGAGCCCACGTACTAATATGTTTAGGGTGATTTAGGCCTTTAAGGATATGTTCCGTTAGACGGAATAATTGATCTGGACAGGAATGTCTAGCTCGAAAGCCGAATTGTTCCGCCGGCAGAAGGTCGTTGGAAAACAACACTCTTTGAGTCTGTATAATAGAAGCCGCTCGTTGTCGCTTCTCCAGGCATCTGAGGAGGCTGATGGGACGATAATTAGAGGGCTGGTTGGCTGGTTTATTCGGCTTGCGAATGCTGATAACCGTGGCTTCTTTCCAGTAGCCCGGAAAGGAGCAACTGGAGAGTAAAGTATTGAAAATGGTCGCCAGTAAACAGATAAGCGGCCCAAGGAGAGCTTTAAGAATTTGTTACTAATATTATCTGGGCCCGGGGCGGATTTCGGTTTTAAATTTTTAATAATGTCTCTTTTTTTTATTTGAAAAGTTGTCAAACGAGCAGACGGTTCACCTGATGGTGAGTGAATACCTGTGAATATAATAATAGAGTGAGTGAGGTCGTGGTACTTACCCGGACGGGCCTGCCCATTAGTGCAACAGCCGAGGCTGCTGCGTGGCCCTACCACCGTAATCATTATTTTAATAGAAGCATACTTTTGCTAGGCCTTACGACTTAGGTATCCACCACAAGAATTTGCCATAACTTTTTGAAATCTTTGTTTAAACACATATTGCAGATTTAATAATGTGTAATAAGAAAAAAATTTGGTATGAAATTGAGTTTGTTTAATTGATTGTTAAATGAAAATCTACTTCAAGCCATAAAAAAATTGTTCATTATAAAATTTACCATTGGCTTTAGACGCTTGCAATGTTTAACTAGATTTAAAGCATGCCGTTTTTTAGCTCTTGTTTTCTTTAAAAAAGTTGAGGTAGCATTACGGTTTTGTAAGCGACGCCGTAAAATTCGACAAGATTTACATCGTGCATTTTGTCGATATCTTTTGTAAGTATCATCACCAACAACTACACCTTTACAAATTTCCGAATACCTGAAAATTTATGCAATTATTAAAAAAAAAATGATTCTTATCAACCTTTTTTCTTGTCTCTTATTCTTTTGTTCGGGTATAAATAAATTAATCTTACTTGTTGTTGTCCATTTGAGTCCCAACACATAATGGCCACCTTTCCACAGATTTTAAGTAATTGTAGAGTTTATTAAGCGACTTAAGTTTCTCTTTTAGAGAATATTCATCATTATTAGGAAAAATAACCTGCAATTGGATTTCTATTAATTATTGTTACAAAAAAACAAATATATATACACATGTTCCTGAATAAATAATTACAGTAATTGATAAATCTTTGTTTAGACGTATATGGTTTTTGATTTGCTTAGTAGTTGTATCCATGCGCATAAATTCCACTCCATTAGGTTTTTCTACAAACAGCCAACACGGCGGCAGCATTGAAATTTTTAGAATATTATCTTTGAAATTCTTTATGGCAGTCACTTTGATTTCCTGGCGATTTTTTAAGTTATTGTGTGCTTGTGGACTTGAAAGTGGATCTTCCAATGCCTGTTCATTTACATCATTTAAAGTATTAAAATGTCTGTGATCAACTGATAATAATTTGTCTCGCTCTATATTGCTTGGTTGATGACGTTTTTTGTCTTTAGACTGATTGCAGCATGAGTGGGACTTTTGAGGTTCATGTTTGATCAATGCTTGGACCTTATGTCCTGGTACAGGAATAAACTGATGCTCAATTGTTGGAGAAGCTTCATCTTTCAGTATTTTCTTCCCTATAGGAAATATCTTGAGATCTCCTTTAATGTAGAACTTTTCGTACATTTTTATGTGTTCCTCTTTAAAATGAAGGTGACAAATATAATTGGTTGCTTTCAATTCAATACCCAATGAGGTTTTCCATTTTTTTAATCTCGCCGGTGTCTGTGTATTAACATAAACAATGTTTATATGTCGATTTATAAAGGTTTGTGTAAAAAGTTATAAAAAAATTACATACTGTTGGCTGGAAAAAGGACAGAGCCTGAAGCGATTTATTTTTTTTACTTTTTATTTTCGTTTTACGCCCACTTGGACAACTTTTCACAACACAAACTTTTACCATTATTGATTAATTATATAGAAAAGTTTTCAAACGTCAAAAAGTATAAAATCACTGATATATACGAAAAAATATTAATCACTCTCCACTTTTTTAAGTTTATTAACCGAACTACGTATGTAGGAAATAGCGGAATAACGAGGGTGTAAATAGTGCATTAAATTCATACACTAATTAAATTAAAATATTAAACTTTTTTAAGTAATAAGATAAGACATATTATATACTGAAACAAAATAAATAAACAACAATCAATAAAGTAAGTACTAATGTACATCTTTCATATAACTTGACAGTTGACACTTCTTCGGTCTTCCAAATACTTGACGTATAACATACTTTTGTGAGAATCAGAAGAGAGTACGTGTAGATCCAGCCACATGTTGCATCCGAAATGATGAATTGATGACGCAGGTATCAACAAAGTAAGTTAAAAAAAAATAAAAAAACAAGCTTTTGTACATAACCGAAGTAAATTAAAGAAAAAGTGCTTTTTTTTGCTTGCAAAAACATAAAGAAAGCAGTACAATTTTTACAATTACAGTACATTGTATAACTTTTTTGTTTAGTCGACGGTTTAACATTAAATGCAGCAATATTGAGAAACAACGTAGCTGGTGCACGACGACCACACCATGATGCAGTCCGGTTTTTTTTCACAGCATCCCAGGGTGGTTCCATCCACCCCCAGGCACCGATCAATTGAATACATACAGTTAATGGTGTCCTAATCAAACATAGGCCATCTAGGGTAACGTACTCCCTTCCGATAAGGATGAGCACATACGGGGCCCAACGCAGAGGAACGTATCAAGCACACTGCCCAGCCGTGAGACTACTAACATTGCTCGAAAAATAATGACCTTTTTCGAATTTGTGACCACAATTTAACGGTGGTAGGGCCATGCAGCAGCCTCGGCTGTTGCCCGAATGGGCAGGCTCGTCCGGGTAAGTACCACGACCTCACAGAAGACCGGCGTAAAGTGGAAGTATAATACTTTCGCGTTTCGTCTGGTGAGTAAGGTAGCCGGAGCCCAATTTCCAAAAAGGTTGTCTACGCATCTGCAAACCCTCGGGTGTAGCAGATGTCCACGGGTGGCGGTATTCATTTAACATTAGGTAAACCGTCTGCTCGTTTGGCAAATTTTCATATAAAAAAAAACTTATTACAAAGAATTAAATAAAAGAATAACATGGGAACTTTTAAAAAGATCTGAACTTCCAACTTATCGAAGCGGAGTCGAAGCTCCGTAACATCTCTATAATACACTGTCAAAGACTATGCACTGAATAAACAGAGAAAAAAATAATATAAATTCTAATATAATACCGTAATATCTCGATGTCTCCCTTACAATAATATTATTTCTTCAGCCAAACCTTACCATGCCTATATACTAGTACCTTTTTATAATATTTAATATTTTTTCGACATGTCTAAGTACCTGTTGCCATCGTTGTTTCATTGCTATGCAACGTCTTGTTTATTCAAGGAGTTTTGTCAATACACGGGTTTAAAATGAATAAACGAAGAGATTAGTTAGCTAGAACATCTCTTGATAGCAAATATTATTTTTAACATTTAAAAATGAGCGCCGACACTTTATACGAGGCGCCACGGAAATGTAACGTATCGAAAATGCGAGTTCACGATTATTTATACGGTAAGAATCTTTCGGAATGAAAGTTTACGTGCATAAAGTCCGCCTACGTAAGTTTTTAAATTTAATAAAAATTTTAATAAAGTTTAAATATAATTTTAAATTTGCTTCGCCACTATTTATTTACTTCCGCTATATGTTGTTAACCGTTGGGGAAGAAAGGTTCTCGAGTGGCAGCCTCGTACTGGCCATCGCAGTGTGGGACGACCCCCCACAAGATGGAGTGACGACCTGTGCAAGTGTGCGGGAGGTCGATGGATGCAGGTGGCACAGGATCGTGCCTCGTGGCAGTCTGTGGTCTGTGGCCTACGTTCAGCAGTGGACTCACACAGGCTGAAATGATGATGATGATATATTTTTATATTGACAGTTACCTCTTTTAGCTGTTATATTAGGACTTGAAACGTTTACACTGTGGTAAGGACACGCAGCAGCTTCTGCTGTTGCACGAATGGGCAGTCTCGCCCGGGAGGTACCGGGGCCTCATAGAGGGCCAGCGTTAAGTGGAAGTACTTTTGCCCTTCGTCTGGCGAGTGAAGTATTGGAATTAATGTGAAAAGTTGACAAGCGAGCAGGCGTTTCACCTGATGTTAAGTAAATACCGCCGCCCATGGACATCTGCTACACCGGAGGGTTACAGATGCGTTGACAACCTTTTGGAAATGCTCCGGCCACCTCACCAGACGAAACGCGAAAGTATGTTTTATACTTCCAATTTACGCCGGTCTTCTATGAGGTCGTGGTACTTACCCCGGACGAGCCTTCCCGTTCGTGCAACAGCCGGGGCTGCTGCGTGGCCCTACCACAGTTAAGAGGTAGGGCCACTCAGTTTTACTTTAGTAACCGGGAGCATCGCTTCTACAATACCGAGATGTCCGTGGGCGGTAATCACTTAATATCAGGCTAACCAGCTGCTCTCTTGCCACCTTCTGACACACTTATGTCCGCACGTAACAAGTTATACTTCTATAGCGTAAAGACCATTACATGCAATTGATAACGTTTAATTTAAATAACTTGGAATCATCGGTAAATATCAAAAAGTTGCTATTGATTGCCAACATTAAAATGGTTACCAAGCATCATGTCGCTTTTCGCATTAGGTTCGGTGTGCGCGACCATCATAATTTTTACAAACGCCCCAAAAGAATTAACTTCGAAACAAAGTCTATACTGGGACCATGAAGTTAGAAATGAAATATAACTGGATAAAATCCATAAAGTAGTCTGCCTCTACTTTTGCGTTTGGTACGATGTGGCCACACGATTAACCGCAGGCCTAAATCTCATTAAACGAATAAAAAAAAAGAAATATAAAAAGATGAACTGAAAACATAATACACTTGGCTGTTTCGGAAGCAGGTTACACTTTAATTGTACATAAAAAAAAATACTTAAATACCCAAATACAAATATACTCAAAAATATATTAAATAGTCAAATAAAAAAAAAACAGGATTACGAGGGTCGTTCAATGTATTCTCGGTATCGGGTTGATATACTAATGATGAGGGTATTTAAACAATCGCATTAGTTACGGCACTCTTTGAGGGTACAAATATATAAATTTCATTGGATTGTGACCACTAGTATTCAAGAATCAAAATATCATCACGAAAAGGCAATTTCGAAGACTGATACGACAATGTTGAACAAAATCGAGCATCGCGCTGTAATAAAATTTCTTACAAAACACGGAAAGCCCAATTTTCAAAAGGTTGTCAACGCATCTGTAACTCTCGGGTGTAGCAGATGTCCATGGGCAGCGATATTCACTTACCATCAGGTGAACCGTCTGCTAGTTTGGCAACTTTTCACATAAAAAAAACGAAAATTTATTTCCGAAGAAATGGTGGCTGTTTACCAAGAATCTGCTCCGTCATTATCTGCAATTCAGAATTGCTCTAGAGAATTCAAACGGGTTAGAGATGGTATTGGAGTCGACCCCCCGTGGTCGAAATCGTTGTGAAACTTTTACTCGATGCCCGTGTAATAGTGAAAACATTATCAAAAAGCACTAAGCTATCCGTTGGTACCATTCACACTATCCTTCAAGAGCATCTAAATCTGTCAAAGGTCACGGCACAGAAACAAGTGTGTTGTGTGTGTGCAAGGAATTTTTGGAGCTACCACAGAGCTTCAAAACAAATCCGCATAGTATTTCGACCGAATCGTTACCGTTATGTTAAATTCGACATCAAGAACGCGCAAGCCTCTATTTGAATAAAGATATATTGAATTTGACTATGAGAGCAAGCAAGAGTCCATGCAGTGACATTAAAAAGGAAAAGACCAAACAAATCCACCGTAAAACTCGATGTTTCGGGATTCTATGGGAATCTTACTTTCTGTTTTTTTTGTTTCTCTGATGTTACGCTTTCAGTTCTTAGACTGTTGAAGCTTCATCGAACGCAGAACCGGTGGGCTAGCCAGAACCCACGGGTTTGAGGCCCACCTCGGTGGGTAGGGCCACGCGTGTACCCATGCGTTATGGCATGTTGCCTACGGGCCATCGAGGAAAGGAATCCTACTGATTGAGTACGATACACAAAAAAAGGGGTCAAATTTATACTGCCGCAGCTTACGCAAACACGCTAAAAGGCAAAAAAAGAAAAAAGAAAATCCTCGGCGATGTTCATGATTTAACTTTTTTTTTTTATTTTTTTTTTTACAACATTTTCTAGTCCCAAACTAAGCAACGCTTGTACTATGGGTACTAGAAAACTGATAAACATACTTAAACATACTTTTCTTTTGTAAATAAATACACATTATAGATATATAAACACCCAGACACAAGTAAAACACTATGTTCATCACACAATATTTTTCCAGTAGTGGGGATCGAACCCACACCCTCTGGCGCAGGAGGCAGGTACACTAACCACTACGCCATTCAGGTCGTCAACTATCTCGATAGTGACCATCTCTTGACGAAAGAACGTTGTAAAATTACAGATTCTTCGTATATCGTTTCCGGGGCCCGGGATTACGTGCGGGCGGCCTTTAAGGCGGCCATGGGTTCAGCTCAAGTGGTAAGGAAATGACGAGTTTTGTTTCATATTAAGTTTTTATAGTGCTGATCTTTGCACTTTGTTTTTTTTTTATGTGATAAGTTGCCAATGGAGAAGGCGGTTCAGAGAATACTGCCGCCCATGGACATCTCCCATTAATAATTAGGTGTTTTAGGCGTCCATGGGCGGCGCTTGTCACTTACAATCAGGTGAAACGCCTGTTTATTTGCCAACTTTCATATAAAATAACGACCCGATTGGCGTAGTGGGTAGTGACTCCGCCTCTTGCGCCAGAGGGCGTGGGTTCGATCCCCACTACTGGTAAAATATTGTGTGATGAACAATGTGTTTTTCCAGTGTCTGGGTGTTTATATATTTGTAATCTTATCCTTTAAACGAGCAACGCTTGTATATATATATAATCGGAATCTCGGAAACGGCTCCAGCGATTTTCATGAAATTTAGTATGTGCGTAGATCTAGCTAGGTTAGCTAGGCTAAAAATCGATCTAGCTAGGTTTCATTTTTAGAAAATGTCCTTTTATCCCTGTGGGTGTTTTATGTTCACATGTGTGTTTAATGTTCATTCAGGGAATGAAAAATATCATTCGAATAAGACGGTAAATTTCGCCGCAAAAAAAAATGTTATAATAGCTCGGTCGGTAATCGGGCGGCCCCAAAACAGACGGCCGCGGTTCGTATCACGATCATTTACACAGTTATTTTTTACTTTTTCTTCGATTCTCGATCATTGCTTTCTTCATCTTTTATTTTTTGTCGATTTGTTACTTTGTTATTTCTTTCCCTTTCTTTTGCGAAAAACACCAGTTCATATTTTCTTATTATTATGTCGGTAAGATCGAAAAATATATATGCATATTTCATTACTTAGTAATTTGTATCTAAATGTAAATGTAATTTGTATCTAATCTAAATCTAAATGTAATTAATTTATTTATAAAAAAATTAAAACTTGCAGACCGTGCATCCAGTATACGGGTCGATGTTCTCGGAGTTGAGGCAATTCCCGCGGGTGGAAGTAGGTGAGGAATCTATTACTATTATTTTGGGGTTCATTTTTTTCTCTCAGATGTAACCTGATGATATTAAATTAACACGGGCTTTAACCAAGTGTTAACCTAACACCTTCTCGCCTAAAAATATATACTTAATGAGTGCAGGCTACACGTTTAATACTTTAATAACTTTCAAATACAATCTTCAGTTACGTTTTTGAAATCATCTAGACTCCAGAGTGCATCCTTTACAGCATACAACGCCCTACAAAGAACATTTCAAGGATTTGCCTCTTGCTCTTAAAATTTCAGGATAAATTTTTATTTTTTAGTGCCAGTCTCAGCACTCAAATTTAAATGGTGATTTATTTTAGATAAATTAGCAAAAACTTTCGGTGCTGTGCGATTCGAATTTTCGACATTTATCTACGTTAGATGGTGCCAAGTGTTGCTAAAATGCAATAATAAGAACTAGATACTTAGATGTTGTGATTTTCGCGTTGTGACGTCTTATATTTTTATAATTAGTCCACTGGCTACGACGGGTCGGAAAGTTTGTTGCACTCACGATAAAAGTAAAAGTAACGCCTTAAAATGTCCCACTGCAGGGCAGAGGCCTCCTCATTACAGAGGTCAGTATCAGGGTATAGTCCAAAACGCGGCCCCACTGCGGATTGGCGGACTTTACATACTTTCGAAATACTTATTTATTTCGAAAATATGCAGGTTTCCTCACGATGTTTCCCTTCATCGCTGAGCTCGTGATAAGTCGGCACTTAAAATTAAAAATTTCATTGGTGCCGGCACCGGGGATCGAACTCGTATTGCTCGTGTATTGTGAACTAGCTTTTCGCCCGCGGCTTCGCTCGCGTTGAAGCCCTTGAATAAATTTCCTTCCTTAAAAACATTTTCCAATTAAAAAATAGCCTATGTCTCTTCTCAGGCTCTAGACTATCTGTGTACGAATTCAGTAGTTTTGGCGTGAAAAGCGAGACAGACAAACAGACAGAGTTACTCTCGCATTTACAATATTAGTATGGATTGAAAGCGAGCGCCCGGATACAGCTATCACGCCCCCCACTATAGATTTGTATTTTTTTTGTAATTCTTTTGAGTAAATAAATATCTTATACCACAGTATACCACCCGAACTGCCGCCTTCCGGACCACGTGGACAGGTCCTACCAGGCGTATATTCAGAGGGTGGCAAAGGCGCGCGACGCTCCTGACCCAGACCTAAATGGGAGGTACCACTTCAAGTTCTGCGCAATGTGAGTACCCCGGTAGCGTGGCGACGGAAGTTACGCTTCTCCTCTTTTTTTTTTTTTTTTTTTTTTTTTTTATGTGAAAAGTTGCCAAACGAGCAGACGGTTCACCTGATGTTAAGTAAATACCGCCGCCCACGGACATCTGCTACACTCGAGGGTTCCAGATGTGTTGACAACCTTTTGGAAATCGGGCTCCGGCCACCTCACTCTCCCGACGAAACGCGAAAGTATTATACTTCCACTTTACGCCGGTCTTTTTTTTTTTTTTCTTTTTTATGCGAAAAGTTGTCAAACGAGCAGACGGCTCACCTGATGTTAAGTGAATACCGCCGCCCATGGACATCTGCTACACTCGAGGGTTACAGATGCGTTGACAACCTTTTGGAAATCGGGCTCCGGCCACCTCACTCTCCCGACGAAACGCGAAAGTATTATACTTCCACTTTACGCCGGTCTTCTATGAGGTGGTACGTGGTACTTACCCGGACGGGTCCTCATGAAAGATTCATCATCATATCAGCCGTAGGACGTCCACTGCTGAACATAGGCTTCGACCGGTCGTTAGCGGCCCGCGTCCAACGCGTCCCTGCGATCTTGGCCAGGTCGTCCGTCCACCTTGTGGGAGGCCTTCCTACGCTGCGCTTGCCGTCACGTGGTCTCCACTCGAGAGCCTTTTTGCCCCAACGGCCATCGGTTCTTCGAGCTATGTGCCCCGCCCATATTTGGTGCATGAAAGATTACCAGAAGTGTGAACACACTAATATTTGATAATGAAATTAAAACTCTAATCTTATTTTAAACACGCTGTTATAGTTTTTCAACCGACTCCATAAAATAAGGAGGTTCTCAATTCTAATGTATTTTTTTTTTAATTTTATTTTTTTAACCTCGGAAATTTCGACGGAGAGAACGGACTTTGATGTTTCCTCTTTTAATTGAAACCTTGTGCTTCCCATGTGGTCGCACATTAATTTCGTTGGTACTGGATTTTGGGTTCCGAAGAAACTTGGAGAAATCAATTATAAAATGAATACGACGCGAGATATTTGAAGTCGGTTTTATTTTTCGTTAGTAAAAAAAATGACGTGTATAAGAAATAAACTTCTTAAAAAGAATTACGAGTATCATGATTGTATGTACTTTCATTATAAATTTCGTATAATTTACGCCTACTTCTATGCATTCCGACTGCTGCCGATTTTATTTTGGAAATAAATATGAATGACTTAGAAACCGGAGGTCGTGGGTGTGATTTTTTTTATGTGAAAAGTTGCCAAACGAGCAGAGGGTTCACCTGATGCTAAGTGAATACCGCCGCCCATGGACATCTACATCTGCTACAAAAGATGCCTTTTTGGAAATTGGGCTCCGGCTACTCCACTCACCAGACGAAACGCGAAAGTATAATATTTCCACTTTACGCCGATCTTCTGTGAGGTCGTGGTACTTACCCGGACGGGCCTGCCCATTCGTGCAACAGCCGAGGCTGCTGCGTGGCCCTACCACCGTATTCCGATTCCCACACGGGATGTGTATTTGCGTGACCCGCAGATGATTGCCCTCAGTATTGACATCAGGCGGGCCAATCGTAAAAAGTAAAATCCTAACTATTACCGTTAACAACTTTTATGTCGTAAATTTTGCGCTGATCCCATTGCAAGAGAAAGAACAAGTAGAAACTTCAATAATTCTTTATAAAATTTTATGATTGAACTCCGTTCCAATATAAGCTTTAGAAGAAGTTTCTATTATACACTGCTATTGACGAAAAATACACAAATAGGATAAAGTTAATGTTCTCATAAAATTAAACTTTCATTTTAAAAAATTTATATAAAGAATGTATGATAGCGCCATCTATTGACAATATTTTTAAATAAAATATCATTAATATACATTTAATTGGTAAGTAGGTATGTACATATTTTATACATCATTATGTTGCTATTCGGTGATTGATTACGGTATTGTGCGAAAGTTTTATATCAATTAGCCTATTTATAATAGTATTAATATTTTTATTTGTGAAAAATTTAAATACTCTAATGCTAATTTCAAAACATTGTAAGTATCCGATATGGTCTAGTGGCTAGGATACCTGGCTCTCACCCAGGAGGCTCGGGTTCGATTCCCGGTATCGGAATTTTATTTTTGTTTCTCGGATTTTGTTCTTTTTAAATTATGTTATGTTGAAACAATTATGCTTTGAAAATATGTTGTTTATTAATTTATACTTTTTTTTATTAAGCAAAGAAAATTCGATTCCAAGATATAGTCGAGGAGTGTCGGAGCAAAACCGATATATCACATTTATCATATTTTTTCGGGAAATTAAAAAATAATACATACGTCTATGGATATCCAATCTACAGATGAACAAAGTTTACTTGTTTAAAAGTCTTGGTAACACTGTTTATATCCAAATCACACATTTATGTGTGCAGTATGTGATGAGATTTATTTTTTGAGACTGACGGATATGCCCCTGTATAACATCATATATTTGTAGATTAATTCGTTTTAAATCCCGCGTTCCTTCTAGTTTTTTTTTCATAAAATGTTTCTAGATGTTTGATATTCTTTATACTCCAACCGACATTCTTTTCAACCAACCAAATGCACGACCCATGAACATTTCTAAGGATTTGTCGGTGTATTAATTTGTTATGGTGTGTAACTGATAATTTGTTCCAATCATGAAAAAATGTTTTAATGTTTTATGATGATTAGTGTGTTTCGAGAAAGTTTTTAAAGAAGATTTAGTCGTTTATAAATAGATTTGATACAAGATGGTTAAAATGTGATTTATACGGTAAGTTAAGTGAATACACTGAGAGAAGGAATTAGTTTTATTTTTTCTTAGTTTTATTTTTAAGTTGGATTTTTTCTTTAGTCAAGTCCGTATTCAGGGAAAGTATGGCGTAGAATAAAAGTGTTTATTTGACAAATCTTTTTAAAAATCAAAAGAGTGAAAGCGCACGTGCAACGTTCCTTCAAATAGGATAAAATAGTAGTACAGTAGGATATGCATTGAGGACTTCTTTATAAAGAACAAAGTCAAAATTATTTCCTAATGATGGTGATGAGGGTGATGAATGTTGATGATCCTAATGATGATGAACATAGTGTTTTTCAAGTGTCTGGGTGTTTTATATATGTAATATGTATTTATTTACAAAAGAAAAGTATCCTTATTAGTTTTGTAGTAAGTACCCATAGTACAAGCGTTGCTTAGTTTGGGTTTTATATTATTATGATTATAATGACGTATAGACACTCGACAGCTTCCGTGTTTCACGAATAGGCAGACAGTGCCGTGCATGACATTTCAGACACTTATGTTGTACCAATTTCTCGAAGTGGTTTATGTATGATAACTTAACACGTCACTTGGATGATTTCCAAATTGGCCTTTGAAAAGGCTGTGAGATGTTAAGTTTGTTTTCATTAACTCAAATAACCATTTTTCTACTGACGGAAAAAATAAAACCGACTTCAAATATCTCGGTCTGCGTTCATTTTATAATTGACTTTCAGGAGTTCGAACATCAAAAAAAAATACATTCGAATTGAGAGCCTGCTCTTTATGGAGTCGATTAAAAATTCACTTTTCATCGCTTCATCGCTTTTCCCTAACGCGCCGAAAGAAGTGTAACTTCAAAAAAAAATAAAAAAAAATACCAACCCCCCTCCCCCCACAGGCCGAAGAAGGTGCTGCCGCTGAAGAGCGCCACGCCCGACTTCAGACCGGAGACGGGCACGCCGCCCGCCCTCGATCGGCGCCCTCGCCACCGCGGAACCCAGAGCGTTTTCAGGTAGCACCTCCGCGCCATCTACACCCCAAGGGTACGTCGTGGTGGTCCCCTGCAACCGTGGTGGGGCCACTTAGAGCGCGTTGCGGCGGTCCACCGCGCGTAGCGACCAACTGTGGTAGGGCCACGCAATAGTCTCTGTTGCACGAATGGTCAGGTCCGTCCGGGTAAGTACCGCGACCTCACAGAAGACAGGCAAAAGTTTTATACTTTGCGTTTTGTCTCGTGAGGGAAGTAGCCGGGGCTCTCTTTAATTAAAAGCTACAAGGGCAGCCCTACGGGTGTTGCAAATGTTAATGGGCGGCGATTATCTCTTAACATCAGGTGAACCGCCAGCTCGTTTTTTTTTTGAAAAATTGATTGCCAAGCGAGTAGACGGTTCACCTGATGTTAAATGAATAGCGCCGCCCATGGACATCTGCTACACCCGAGGGTTCTAGATGTGTTGACAACCTTTTGAAAATTGGGCTCCGGCTACCTCACTCACCTGACGAAAGCGAAATTATTATACTTCCACGCGAAAGTATTGTACCTACTTACATAATAAAACGATCTTTGCTGTTCACTAATGGTTTTCCTCGTCCGGAACCTCCACAGCCTCGCAGAAGACCCGCGTCAAATCGGAGTTTATGTACTCTTTCTTGTCATATGAGCGACAGACAAGTTCCGGATCTGGGTGTTTGTTTCCCAAGGAGGGTTGAAGTCAGGCAGGCGGGCGGTAGTAGAAACAACGGCGAAACCGCTTATAACGCATGTTGTGCCGACCCTACCTAGTTGGGATGAGGGCAGGAGGATGATGATGATGACCGAATTAAGTCAAGTTGTTGGTGTTAAGGGAGTCTTCGGCACAGACAGTGCCCTGGCAGGCGGAGATCCGCGTCGCCGAGGGCTGCAAAGACACTCCAGAAGTCCTGTACCTCGACAAGATGCAGTGGGGTGAGCAAGATGTCATTCATTCGTTCGTTGTATCGTTCATTCGCTCGGCTAACAATTCATTCTCATATTAATAGAATGTTCAGAATATTAGTTTCATTATTTTCATCGTGGTAGGGCTACAATCCACGCTGTTGTACGAATGGGCCGGTCCGTCCGGGGCCACCACGACACGGTGAGTGAGGTAACCGGAACCCGCTTTATTGAAAGGTGGCAACGCATCTGCAACCTTACAGGTGTTGCAAATGTCCATGGGCTTCGGTAATTACTTAACATCGGGTAAAGCGCCAGCTTGTAACCTTCTCACATAAAAAAAATTGTTAGGTTCTCGGGCGAAGTCATCCCGAATTATACAGTACTATTACATGGAATCCACGAAATCCGGCGCCGAAGTCACTAAATAACTTTAATAAAATATTCTGTATATAACATTTATGGACTTGAAAATAGACTTGAATAATTAATTATGTAAGACTTTCTATCAGACTATTATACACTAACAAATATAATATATCAAATCCATACTAATATTATAAATATTTGACGACAAAGCTAGTATAATTATATTATATATACTATCAAAATATTCGCTATTTGTAGACTTTGACTTTATTCTTCATTGCGAATTGACAAGTCCACTCCCTCAGGACCTGGTGATCCGTTCCGGAAGGGTGATCTGCCCGCAGACTTCCACACCACAGAGATCATAAACAAGTGAGTGATTGAGGAGCTTCTGGATTTGTTCGGGGAGGTAGTACGGTCTTCTGGAAGACCGTGGTCTACTGTGGTAGGGCCAAGCAACAATTTCAGCTGTTGCACGAATAAGCAGTCTCGTCCCGGGAAGTACCACGGGCCGACAGAAGACCAGCGTGTAGTGGAAGTATGTCATACTTCGTTCGTTTGGTATGTTGAGTGAGGAAAGCGGGGGCGTACTTATTTTTAGGTTTCCGTACACAAAGGGTAAAACGGGACCCTATTACTATGACTCCGCTGTCTGTCTGTCTGTCTGTCCGTCTGTCGCTGTATCTCATCAACCGTGATATTTAGGCAGTTGAAAATTTCACAGATTATGTATTACTATTACGCTATAACAACAAATACTAAAAAACAGAATAAAAAATATTTACCCCACTGCGGATCGCGGGTTTACACATCTTCGAAATATTTTTTTTTATTTCCAAAATATGCAGGTTTCCTCACTATATATGTTTTCCTTCACCGCTGAGCATGCGATAAATCAGCACTTAAAATTAACAATTTCATTTGTGCCGGCAACGGGGATCAAACTCTGGTAGCTCGAGTAAATTGAACTAAATGCGAGCTCCCAGACACTGAGCTATAGCGGCTCTTTATCCCTAAAACTCCCACTAATTCTCCTGCTGCCTACTCCTTCTCCTGCCCTACACCGTCCCTTTGAGCCCAGGATGCGGCACGCGCGCAAATGGATGGAGCTAGTCGACAAGGGCCAGTTTCCCGGCTGGATGAAGGGCCGCGACGAGATCATAACGGACGTGGAGACCAAAGACTGGATATTCAGGGAGGCGGTGAGATGACTAATGTCCTTTAACACGTTTAGGTCTATCCAACTGCAGCCCTGTAGTCTCGGGCTCATAGAATAGGGCTATAGGGCTAAGGTATCCCTTGCATGCCGTAGTCTGCTGTAACACGCCTTGGCTTATCCAACTCCAGCCCTGTAGTCTCGGGCTCATAGAATAGGGCTATAGGGCTAAGGTATCCCTTGCATGCCGTAGTCTGCTGTAACACGCCTTGGCTTATCCAACTCCAGCCCTGTATCCAACTCCAGCCCTGTAGTCTCGGGCTCATAGAATAGGGCTAAGGTATCCCTTGAATGTCGTAGTCTGCTGTAACACGCTTTGGCCTTTCCAACTCCAGCCCTGTAGTCTCGGGCTCATAGAATAGGGCTAAGGTATCCCTTGAATGTAATATTAAACTAAAACTTTTCCTTCTTATACTGGGAAGGGTAAAAAGAATACATCTGGTTTTTTTTGGCATTTAATACCATATTATTAATAGTAAACCAGTGGAGGATATGTGAAAGCGCACTATTCACGTCGTCATAATTTAATACGTTTCGGTCAACTTTAAAAATAAGCGATGTATCGTCAGCAAACAGTACAACATCACACAACCCACTGGCATAAAAGGGGAGATCATTAATATATACTAAAAATAATAATGGGCCCAAGATTGATCCTTGTGGGACTCCCATTTTCATCTGGGACCCAGTGGAATTAACATCATTTATAGATACTTTTTGAATTCTATTACTAAGGTAAGAGGCAATGAGATTGAGGGCGATCCCACGAATGCCATAATATTCTAGCTTTTGAAGAATAGTTTTATGGTCTACGCAGTCGAAGGCTTTTGAAAGGTCACAAAAGACACCTATTGCATCTTGTGACCTTTCCCAGGCGTTATAAATATGTTTGACAAGTGCGACGCCCGCATCTGTTGTCGATCTGCCTTTAGTGAATCCATATTGCTCATCGTGAAAGATTTTGTTCACATTAAAATGAACTAAAAGTTGATTTAATATTAGCTTTTCAAAAACTTTACTAAGAGATGGCAATATGGAAATAGGTCTATAGTTGCCTGGATCATTTTTATCACCACTTTTGTAGACAGGTATTATCTTACTAAATTTCATAAGATCTGGAAATATTCCAGAATCTATGCAGTTGTTAAAAATAGAAGCCAAATGTGGTGCAATATATGGCATTATTGTGCTCATTAATTTTATGGACATACCCCATAAATCCTCTGTATTTTTAAGATTAATAGAATTCAAAACTTTTATAATATCATAAGTATCTACGTGATTAAATTTAAATGTGTGTAGGCAAGGGGTAACATTATTTCTTAAAACATTAATTGCGTCTGCGGGAGATGATTTTAATGTACGTGTGACATTAACCGCAATGTCTGAAAAATAGCTTTTGAAACTACTCGCAATTTCGTTATCTGATATTATGGGAGTATTACCTATAACTAGTTTTATAGGTTCCCTGAATATCTTGGTTCTTCCAGATATACGGGTAATGATGTCCCATGTGGCTTTAGTTCTATTGTTTGAATTTATTATGCTATTTCTTATATAAATAGATTTTGCCTGAATACAGACTTTTTTTAAATATTTTTGAAAATGTTTGTACCCGTTTAAGGAAGTTAGGATCGTGATTCCACTGCCTCATACTATATAATTCATACAATGAATCCCTACTTTTGTATATACCCACTGTTGCCCAGTCACTAAATTTTAATTTTGAATTCTTAGCAATTGTGCGCGATTTAAAAGTATCATTATAAGAAGATATGAGAAAGTCAACCATTGATCTATAAGAGTCATTAGGGTTATTGACTCCTATATCTTTATTTAACATATGATGTGCCACTTTATCTCTAAAAGCATTTATTCTATTAGTAGTGACTGGTCTACACTTGATCTTAAGTTTGCTTGTATTAGCTTTTTCATTTATTGAAAATTTTAGCCCAAAGTGATCCGAGCTCAGATGATTTATAACATATTTATCATATACATCACTGTGACAGAATACATTATCTATACATGAGGAGGATAAGTTAGTAACACGAGTTGGTTCATGAAAAAGATTTTTAAGTTCAAATGAGTTAAATAAATTTAAAAGTCGTTTACTGAGTTGTGTTACTTGTAATAAATCCACATTAAAATCTCCACAAACTATTAATGATTTACTACTTGAACATAGTTTTTTAAGAACATCATCCATTACACACTCAAACTGATCGAAATCACCTGAGGGGGGCCGGTATACGCATACTATAATATACTGTTGACTCTCAACGCAGGATAATTCAATAGAACGTTCGACAGAGTGTGCCACTATATCCTGTCGATTTTTACAGACTATATCAGTTCTAACTAATACAAGAGAGCCACCGCGATAGCATTTACTCTTACGAACGAACTTAACAATTTATAATTTTCTATATTAACAATATTACAGTGCTTATGTAACCATGTCTCTGTGAAGCAGATGACATGTATATTAAATTTCCTAAGGAACAATTCAATTTCGGGTTCTTTGCCGCTTAAGCCTTGTATATTTTGATGCACAATATTTAATTTAAGTGGCCTAGGCGTTGTCTCAATGTTTAGTTTAAACTAACATTGTTTGCTAAAAGATTATTACATAATAAAATATTCTTAGTTGTACTATTTACAACTGGGTTTTGTATATTACATGCTACTAGAGTAGCAATTAGTTTCTTATAATATAGTGGCAAATACAAAGTATTTTTTGTCACCTTAAAACTAGATGTCGTAGAAGGCGACTAAAAGGGGACTCGGACTGGATGCAGCACGAAGTGGTCTCCAGCGTAGCTTAGCTAGCCGTAATGGTGTTCACTGTTTCACGAATGGGTAGGTCCGTAAGGGTTAGAACCACGACCTCACAGAAGACCGACATAAAGCTGACGTGTTACACTAATTCTGCATTTAGTCTGGTGAGTGAGGTAACCGGGACCCACCTTATTTAAAGGAGACAACACTTCTGCAACCCTACGGGGGTTGCAAATGTCCATGGGTAGCGGTTAACTTAACATCAGGTGAACCGCCAGCTCGTTTGCCCCCAATTTGTTCCCAAAGGTAGAAGAACAAAACTTTCGACAGTGAAATAAAAAAATACATTCATGGATGAGTTCACTCTTAAGGTCTGTTAAAATATATCTAGTGGTTAAAGGAACGGTTGAGCCCAGTATAAATGAATTAATAAACCAACCAATAAGGTTAAGGATTCGTTATCCTTAAGACCAAGAGCAAAACCGCTTTTATCTTCAGTTGTCGTGGGGATAATGGTGCGTATTTTTGGTTTAATCCTTCATTTTTAACCCTTCCACATCGAAACACCTAAAGCTACGAAAGAGGAATAAATAAACCGGCCAATAAGGTTGAGTAGTTGTTGTCCTAGAGACAAAGATCGAAACCTCTTTTGCAAATGTCTTCAGGGGACGTGGAGAAAAGAAAAGCGTATATTTGTTCTTTAATTTATTTACCACGCCATACTCGGTGTGGGACACAGAGTCTCGTGAGGTGTGGCAGGGCTTTTTCCGAACGCTACATGAGTTCAAATACCGCAGGAAATAGACGAGCTCCAGGACATCCGTCTGACGTTGCTGCACCGTCTCCAATCTGAGAGCAGGCTGCAGAAGACTGGCCGCGTCAGCTCCAAGCTCGCCAAGCTCTGGGCCCACAAGAAGCAGGAGATGGAGAGGAAGATTGAGAACATACGACGGACGAGAGACAGAGGTACGTGATATCCGTATTATTGAGAACTGAGCTGATATTCTGTACGTCTTACGCCCGGATTCTTAAACTCTTTGAATTGATCATTCTGATCAATAAAAATTTCATTCTGATCAATCCAGAGAGCTTAACCATCCTTTTGGCAACCCAATGACATTTGAAAAGCCATTTGACAGCTTATTAGTTGACATCTACAATGATCAGTGTTTCAGAAACCAGGCGTTAATATTTTGATGGAATATAATGGATTTTTAATTAAATGTCACAGTTTTGTCTTTGTGACAATTCATCGTATGGTCATAAACAGAAACCTTCTCTTCTTGTTGTTCTGTCTTCGGCACGACTGTGGTCTTCTTGGGTCTCCTTTTTGTGGGTTCATTACACCCGGTCCGGTCAAATGGTGCTATGCCGGTGCAACAATCCTTAGTAACCTGTAATATTGTAGTAACAGCCTTTACATGTCCCACAGCTGGGCGAAGGCCTCCTCTGTACAGAGAGTGTCAGGGCATAGTCCACCACGCGGCCCCAGTACCGATGTCCAATAATTGGCGGACCTCACGTTTCTTCGATATATTTTATTTCTGCTATTATTTCGACAACAATGCAGGTTTCCTCACGATGTTTTCCTTAACCGCAGAGCACGCGATAAGTCAGCACATGAAATTAACAAATTCATTGGTGCCGGCACCGGGGATCGACCTCGGGTTGCTAGAGTCTATTGAATTAAAGGCGAGTGCCTACTACTATATTTTCTAATAGCTGTTGCCCACGACTACGTCTGCGTAGAATAGGCCAGATATACATAAAAATATGTATATAAATTATAGCCTATGTGTTATTCTGATGTATAAGCTATATCATTGTAAAGTTTCATTAAAATCCATTCAGTAGTATTTGCGTCAAAGAGTAACAAACATCCATCCATACATACAAACTTTGGCATTTATTATATCAGTAAGTAAGGAGTAAGGATTATATTTGTATCGATCCACACAATCGTTGAGTGTTTCGCGTAGAGCTGAGGAAGCTGACAGCCCAGCACAATCGGGGCGGTCGCGTGGGGCAGGTGCAGGGGATGAGGACGGCGCGGGGGGGTGGGCCCCCCACGGCGTCCGCATGCGACCCCACATCTGACCTCCACGCGCCCCTGGCGAGGCACGGACGCCAGGCCCGCAGGAGGCACGCGGAGATCTACTACGACCCTTCTTTGTTGGGTGAGCAATGCTGAAACCACTCTAGAGGGAGCTTTGCCTGGCTGGCCGAAAACGATGCAGTAGGGGCACGCAAGAGTCCTCACTGTTTCAAGAATGGGCATTTCCGTCTGGGGAAGTTCCGCGACCTCACAGAAGACCAGCGTTGAAGTTGCGGAGTTATAGTTGGGAGACGAATTGGCTGTTTCCCTGATGTGAAGCGATAGCCGCCGCCCATGGACAATTTCAAGACTCGTAGCATTGCAGATGCGGTATCTATAAATAAAGTGGAGCCCCGGCTACTTCACTCACCAGAAAAACACGGGAGTACAACACCTACACTTCACTCCGGTCTTCCGCGAGGCCGCGGTATTTACCGACCTGCCCATTCGTGCGACAAACGGATTTTTCAAATAACCAAATAAAACTAGTACATATCGAGTCCGTTGCCCGAAAAAAATAGTAAAAGAATAGTAGAATAATAAGTTTAAAAAAATAGTAAAAGAACGTTTGTGTGTTACTATAATATATATTAATGATTATTTAAATCACACTCTGGTAATGAACTGATCGCTCCAGGCTCTTTCAATCGGAGTTCTTATATTGTATTTTTAACGAATTTATGTCAAACTGCTTATTTAAAAAAAAAAAAACGCCCGCTGAGTTTCTTTCGCCGGTTCTTCTCAGTACAGTGGCTTTCTTTTCCGAACCGGTGGTAGTGTTTTTACTATCAATAAGTGAGTGAAATGCTCCTATGTTGAATAAATACATTTTTTGATTTTGATTTTGAAAGTCCTCGAGGACCACGTGAAGGCGGCCGAGCCGCCCGCCTGGCTGGAGAGCTGCGGCCAGGACTTGAGGCGCAGCTGCTCCGGGCACCACGTCGCCCGCGACCCCACGCGGCTCTGCGAGCGCGAGACCAAGTGGAGCGAGCGGTTCCTGGAGAACCTGCACAACGACCTGAAGAGTGAGTGGAACCGTCATCATCAGCCGCAAGACGTCCACTGTTGAACATAGGCCTCCCTCTTAGGACGCCATAACGAACGACACTTTGCCATTTGCATCCACCGATTGCCCGCGACTCTTATGTCAGTTGTTCACCTAGAAGGGAGGCCTTCCAACGCTACGACTTCCGGTTCGTGATCGCCACTCGAGAACTTGATTGAAAATATCTATATGTAGAATTAAAAATATCGATATATCGATATCATCATCAGCATTAGCCGTAAGACGTCCACCGTTGAACATAGGCCTCCCTCTTAGGACGCCACAACGAACGACACTTTGCCATTTGCATCCACCGATTGCCCGCGACTCTTATGTCAGTTGTTCACCTAGAAGGGAGGCCTTCCAACGCTACCACTTCCGGTTCGTGATCGCCACTGGAGAACTTGATTGAAAATATCTATATGTAGAATTAAAAATATCGATATATCGATATCATCATCAGCATCAGCCGCAAGACGTCCACCGTTGAACATAGGCCTCCCTCTTAGGACGCCACAACGAACGACACTTTGCCATTTGCATCCACCGGTTGCCCGCGACTCTTATGATGTCGTCGATCCACCTAGAGGGAGGCCTTCCAGTGCGTTGCCAGCTATAACGTGTGGCACTGAGACGTGGTCTCTAAGCTGGCCTTTGGGAGAAGCTCAGAGTCACACAACGAGCTATTCTCGGAGTTTCGTTGCGCGACAAAATTCGGATCGAGAAGTTCTCCGAAGAACTGGAGTCACCGAAATGGCTCTCCGGACTTGCAAGTTGAAGTGGCAGTGGGTAGGTCACATCGCTCAAAGAACTGATGACCGATGGGAAGAGTGGAATACTTGTCCCGATATATACGCGCCCGAGGCGGCTTGCCCAAGTTGAGTATGTAACGCCAGTTGGCGAGGCTGAGATTTCTAACATAGAACGTTGGTAGAAATGTGGAAAACATTTATATGATTTCTACATTTTTTTATCTATTTTTACCTATATATCCCACTGCTGACTACAGGCCTTCTCAGTACCGAGGTATTAGAGTAGATGGACTATTAACCACGCGACCCCACTGCGGATTAACGGACTTGACATATATTTTTTTTATGTGTGATGGTGGCAAGCCAGCTGTCGGTTCATCTAATGTTTGGTTACCGCCGCCCATAGATATTTGCTACATCCGTAGAGTTTCAGATGCGTTGGCGTCTTTTCATAAAGCGAGTCCCGGCTACTTCACTCACCAGGCAAATAGCAGAAGTATTACACTTCCACTTCACGCCGGTCTTCGGTGAGGTCGTGGTACTTACCCGGACGGACCCATTCGTGCAACAGCCGACGCCGTTACGTGACTCTACCACAGTTAATACATATCTTTGAAATATAAAAAATGTGTAGAGAAATGTTAAACGGTTTTATTGAAAATAAAGATTAAAATGATGAAGACAATGTACTAAAAATAATTCGGTAGGTCCTAAACTATCACTCTCCTCATCAATTTAGGGCATTGATCAGACAAAAAAATAAAGTCGTTAATCGCTTATAATTCACTAAACTCTCGAGTTTAAAAGCGAGCGCCCAGATACTGAGTTAGCACTCTTAGCAAAGGTTACCATTGGTAACGTCCGGTACTCGGTGGCGCCGTTGCCAATCACATTCGACCGAGTCGATGGTGGTGGGTTCGATTCCCACACGGAACTATTATCTGTGGGTCACGCAAGTATTTGCGTGACCACAGATAATAGTTCGGGATCTGGGTGTTTGTTTCTCAAGGAGGGTGGACGTCAAGCAGGCGGCCGGTCGTAAAAAATCATGCTAAAACCGCTTACAACATGAATCACATGTTGTGCCGACCCCACCTAGGTGAGATAAATATTCAATCGTTCATATTATCAACCAACTAAATATTCATTTATTCAGAGGCTCGTCTCGGCGCCTCCATTATGGCCGCTGGCCCCCTGAGGGTGTTAAAGCCACGGAAGAGGGCTGTCACACCCAGACCCCCCACTCCCGAAGTGGAGGGTGTAGACGACTCTGAGGAGGACAATTACCAGTCGGCGCTCCTCCTACAAAAGACCATAAGGGGACGAGCTGTTCAGAACTTGGTGAGTGGAACAAAAACTTGTTACCTATTAATTATTAAATGCTGAGCGTGTATCTACTATCTTGGATTTTTTTTGGTATCGGTGGGGTATATCTTCACCTTATGGGTTATGTGGGATTTTTATCCACTAAAACCCCCTCGGTGGCTACGTTCTGTACGTTTGGAGGGGAACTCTTACGGAACGTAACGGTGTCAATCCAGGTCTCAATACTGCGCGTGAGCAAGCCTCGGAGAAGGATAAACCTTACCCGATTCCCGCACCATCTTGCAACAGCTCTAGTCCACTTCCAACTGCTACCAGTCCGTGTCCCATTTCTCCTTTTACGACAGGCAGGGGATACCTTAGCCCTATTCTATGAGCCCGAGACATGGTACCTTACTGGCCTAGTCAATCCCTTTCCGTATTACCTAGGGCTAGCTGGTAGAGGCTGCAGTGTAGCATCAAGCTCTCCTTTGTACAATTTTTAGTGCAATAAAGAGAATAAAACCAGGCCGGCACAATGTGGCTTACTTAATATAATCTATTAGTTGTTCCAACCTGTTGCATATTATAAAGGAACACTGTATATTCTCCATATACAGAGGGAATAGTCCTCCTCGCGACCACATTTTTTCCGTAGGCATGGGTTTGATTCAGCTAGGCACGGCAAATCATCACTTAAAGATGCAACTGACAACTTCTGGTATTTTTACCTGTGGTAGGGCCACGCAACAGTTCTCTCCGTAAGGTTCTCGGTACGTACCGCGACCTCGCAGAAGACCGGTCTAAAGTGTAACACTTGCACCGCTTTTGCGTTTCGTCTGGTGAGCGAGGTAGCCGGGGCCCTCTTTATCAAAAGGTGGCAACGCATCCGCAACCGTACGCGTGTTGCAAATGTTAACGGGCGGCGGTTATCACCTAGCATCGGGTGGACCGCCAGCTCTTTTGCCACCTTCTCACATAAAAGGCTACTACGCACGCGCCAGATGTTCGAGGGTCGTACCCGCGCCGCCGAGCTCACCGAGGAGCTGAAGACGACGCACGGACTCCAGAAAGAGGACAAGGTCAGGATCGCGAAGGACGAGACCAGGGCGAGGGAGCACATCGCGGCGCGCACGGAGGCAGACCAGAAGGTGAGACGGGAACGGGATAAGGGGAGAGTTCCGGTTGACGCCTCCTATGACTCCGTTGCCGAGGCATCGGCTTCGTCGGGGGTCGTGGGTTCGATTCCCTAGCGGATAGTTGTTTGTGTATTGTAGTGTTTTTTGCAACTGGGCGTAGTCCGCGTGAACTTTCTTTGTGAAACGTCCTTGCAACGTGGGATAATGTGATCCTAGAGTGAGAACAATGTTTTTTTTTAAACAAATATGATTTTTTTGATGTTCTTATAGATTCGTTTTTAGAGATAATGATATGAAACCTTTTGTGTGCGAGTCGGACTCGTACTGGGCCAGTTTTTTTTTTTCGCCCCAAATCCGCTACTGGAGACTGAGCCTTGGTTTCTTTACGCCAGGAGGAGGCGATATCAGCTCTAGTGGACGAGCTCTGCGGTGGTGCCGTGGCGGCCGCCCTGGACTTCCTGGAGAAGGAGTTGCGCCGGCTGAAGATGGAGAGGAGGCAGCACGCGTTCATACTGATCGCTCGTAAGTAGCCGAGCAACTGGAACGCGAGAAAACAACGTTTATCGTGTTATGACAAAGTGGCAAACGAGCCGGCGGTTCACCTGATGTTAATTGATAACCGCCGCCGATGGACATAAGCAACACCCGTAGGGTTGCAGATGCGTCGCCACCTTTCAATAAAGTGGGCCCCGGCCACCTCACTCGCCAGACGAAACGCGAAAGTATTTGTCATACTTCCACTTTACGCCGGTCTTCTGTGAGGTCGTGGTACTTAACCGGACGAGCCTGCCCATTCGTGCAACAGTCAATCAAGAAAGATCAATAGAAAATATCAATAGTTTCTCGAAGCATCATTAATGATACGGTGTCGCACGACAGTGATATTGTTTTACTTCTTTTAGAAAAGAGACAGAGCTATATAATAGAAAGAGAGAATCAATATTCGTTGACGTAAATCATTCATTTCGATCTTCATCATTGGTAAAAGAGTGATTAGCAAATTTTTCTTGGATGAATCTTACAGAAACCCAAGGAAGTTTAACAAGGGATTAACACCTGATAATTTTTACCCGACTGCGCCAGAAGGAGGGTTATGTTTTTCGGGAGTATTTATGTATGTATAATTGTTTGGCACGCTCCGCAGCCTGAACGGCTGGATTGATTTTAGCTTGAGAGATTTTAGCTCGTTAGATTCGTACTTACTGTGAGAGTGACACTGGGTTTATCAATACACAGAAACGCAGTCGGTTTTATTAGGTTTTTTAAAATTATTGACATAATGTTATGTGATACTAGCGACCCGCCCCGGCTCCGCACGGGTGCAAAGTATTATATATATAAACCTTCCTCTTGAATCACTCTATCTAATAAAAAAAAACCGCATCAAGATCCGTTGCGTAGTTTTAAAGATCTAAGCATACCTAGGAACGGACACGGGACGGCGGGTCGACTTTGTTTTATATTTATACTATTTAGTGATGTTTGCTGCTTTGATTGACTTTTCGGAAACTGGGCGCTAGTCTAGTAGGAACTCATAAGTAGGGAACGTACAATACGACTGCGTAAGGAAATAGTTCGATAGTAGGCCATAAATTCTTTGCGTTCCAGTGCGGGAGAAGTCGATGCGTGAAGCGGCCGAGGCCGGTAGACGTCAGAAGGAGGAGCACAGGAGACGGGAACACGACGAGATGTTCAAACAGGTGGGGTAAACCCACATGGGATAAAGGGACTTTAATATTTGTAGAAAAAATTACGAGAACTACCTCACGGTGGTAGGGCCACGCAGCAGCCTGGGCTGTTGCACGAATGGGCAGGCTCGTCCGGGTAAGTACCGCGACCTCACAGAAGGCCGGCGTAAAGTGGAAGTATAATACTTTCGCGTTTCGTCTGGTGGGTGAGGTGGCCGGAGCCCAATTTTCAAAAGGTTGTCAACGCATCTGCAAACCCTCGGGTGTAGCAGATGTCCATGAGCGGTGGTATTCACTTAACATCAGGTGAACCACCTGCTCGCTTGGCAACTTTTCACATAAAAAAAAAGAGAAGTTAGTTTTAATTCGCGACGTTTCGAACGCTTTACAGTTTTCATGGTTACGGGACAGACTTATGCGTTGGAACAATATTATATTGTCTTACCAACTGTTCAAAAACAATACTCCTACAGCTAAAAAAATACCTTAATTTCAAAGTAGAATTTTTTAATATTATCAATATAAAATAATAACCTGATAAAATTAACTGTTTCATTAAAAATGGCCAAGCATATTACAAATATTACAATTCATTTTGTACATCACTTTAGAAATGAACATTTGTAACAATAATATCAATAAAATATTTAAAATATCATAAAAATACATAAACTAAAATAATAAGTATATTATTAAAATGAATATTTTTAGTAACACGCTTATATTCACTATTATAGTAGACTATAGGGGCGGAAGACAAACGGGACCCTATTACTAAAACTCCGCTGTCTGTCTGTCTGTCCGTCTGGCAGACAGTTGAAGTTATCACAGATGATGTATTTGAGTTGCGCTATAACAACAAATAGTAAAAAAAAAACAGAATAAAAAATATTTAAATTGTCCACCCACACAACAGACATGAATTTCTTTTGCCGTTATTATAGATAATGGTACGGAACACATCGTGCGTGTGTCCGACTCGCGCTTGGCCGGACTCTTTTACAAACTTAACGTATCAAGTTGTCCAGGTCCTCGGGGTGACCCAGGAGACGGTGGACGCCTACCTCCGCGAGATAGTCCAGGAGGGCGTGGAGCTGGCGGCGGAAGAGGACGCCGTCAGGATGGTCCAGGCCAGGGCGGACAGGATGGAAGCGGATATGAGGGACCACGGCTCCATGTGGGTTCCCGTCGATGGTGTTCGACGATATAGGCGACGCGTGTCCATACTGAAGGAATAAGTCCATATTTTTATCAACCGACTTCAAAAGGGGGAGGCTCTCAATTCGACTTTTTTCTAATTTTTTTTTTTACTTCAAAAAAGGAGGCAGTCCTCAATTCTACTGTATTTTTTTTATGTTTGTTACCTCAGACCCAGTCTGTCGGACCATGTCCAAAAAATGGACTTGTTAATCAAAAAACAAGACCGACTTCAAATATCTCGCTCTGTATTAATTTCATAACTGATTTTTTAGAAGTCCCCTTCTCATCTCCGGAGCCCATGATCCAATACCAATGAATACATGTATAAGAGACCACATGGGAAGCACCAGCTTTCAAATAAAAAAAGAATCATCAAAATGTGGTCACTCAGTATGTATGCATATGTATGCTTAGATCTTTAAAACTACGCAAGGGTTCATGACGCGATTTTTTTTACTAGATAGAGTGATTCAAGAGGAAGGTTCATATGTACACATTGCACCCGTGCGAAGACAGGGCGGGTCGCCAGTTCAGAAATAGAATTAGACGCGATGGAATCCTTAAAAAGGTTCACTTCACAATCTCCTTCGTTGTTCCGTCAACCGCCGGTGCTATCCGTCACTCCAGGTCCACGGCGGAGCAGAACGAGCTGGTCGCCGAGCTGGTGCAGCAGTTCCTGCTGCCCGAGGCTCATAAGGCCGCTTCTAGGCACAGGATCTCGAACATCCAGGGGGCCAAGGTGGACGCCGCCAGGCGCTCCATATTCGGGCTGATTGATGACTCGTGGGTCGAAGAAGGTAATACTCGTGGGTCCACGACCTCACAGAAGACCAGCGTAAAGTGGAAGTATGACAAATACTTTCGCGTTTCGTCTGGTGAGTGAGGTGGCCGGAGCCCAATTATCAAACGGTTGTCAACGCATCTGTAACCCTCGGGTGTAGCAGATGTCCATGGGCGGCGGTATTCACTTAACATCAGGTGAACCGTCTGCTCGTTTGACAACTTTTCGCATCGAAAAAAAAAAACTAGTGGCCGCTACAAGAGTCGCTTGGTTTGGGACTAGAGAACGTTGTGTTCAAGTGTGTCCTGAAATATTTATTTGTCTAGCGTAGTGTGATACGATGTTGTTTTTCATGTGATAAGGTGGCAAACGCGGTGGCTGGTGGTTCACCTGATGTTAATTGATAACCGCCGCCCGTCGAGATTTGCAACAGCCGTACGGCTCCAGATGCGTTGTTGTAGACGCTCTCTTGAAACGTCAAATTTTACATAAAAATGGATACAACGTTTACGAACGTTGTATCCATTTTTATGTAAAATTTTGCACCACCTTTTTGGTTTTCGCACCACCTGTTTGGTTTGGAAAGCAGTTTCCGTTGAAAAACAGACCGACGGGAAACTCAACAGCTGCTCTTTTTTTTTAAATATGAGTTTACAATATAAAATTTGCACATGTACAATTGTCTTATTTTAGCCTACGTGAGTATCAACAGTATCAGTTCCACAATTGTCTTATTTTAGCCTACGTGAGTATCAACAGTATCAGTTCCACCCATTGCACACGTTTTAAGCTCGATGAGCTCGATGAGATTTTTTTTAATGTGACAAAGTGGCGAACGGGCTGGCGGTTCACCTGATGTTAACTGGTAACCGCCGCCCGTGGAGATTTGCAACAGGCGTAGGTTGCAAACGCGTTGCCAGCTTTTAATAAAGAGGGCTTCAGCTACCTCACTCACCAGACGAAACGCAGATATGTAACACTTCGACTTTACGCCGGTCTTCTGTGAGGTTGTGGTACTCACCCGTACGGACCTGCCCATTCGTGCAACAGCGAACACTATTGCGTGGCCCTACCACATAAAAGTCAAAATACCATCTAGTTCTTTTTTAAACACCCCCTAATTTAGGATAACACTATTCTGTGTAAAGACGTTTTACAAACATAGATGTCACGCGGACAAACATCCAGACGCAAAACAACTATCTGTCAACCCAAAACAAATTCGGATTGAAAAAAAAACTGTCTGGCAGTCACGGGAAGAGTTGTCCCGTGTGGTGATCGAACCCACGAACCCCGACGACGAAGCGGACACCTTGGCAACTACCACGGAGTCATCAATTCTGGTAACATTGCACGAGTTTTCAGGAGTGTGTACCCGTTGCGGTGGGCCCCTGGACGGGGAGTGCCGCTGCCGCTCGTGTCCTATCGAAATGCAACCAGAAGAAACCACTTCCAGGAACGACCCTCGCTGGAAACACACCAGGAGTGAGTACGAAGCCAACTTGCGGGTTCACTTGGTATAAATGTGATGCTACTGTATCTCTCGATAGTTTGTGTTTTGTTTTTTTTATGTGAGAAGGCACTCCACCTGGCGGCTAACCCGATGTTAAGTCACAACCACCGCCATGGACATTTGCGATGTATATTCAAGTCAAATGATTTTTCGAGGGATCCTTGGACCGTGATCTATTCTTATTTAACTTAATAAATAATAGTAGAGGAACTACAATCCCATTAAGTTCTTTAACATGGCAACAATTAATATTCTTATTATTGTCGCCATTCTAATAATAGGCCACTCAATACGACAGTATTCATTTATTTCTGTCCACAGATTATAAAATGGCAACCACAGGACAGGCTTTGCCTAGTGTGGTGCCATGCACAATGTACTTATCTGCAAATCCGTTTGTCAATAAACATATTTTCATTTTCATTTAGTCAAAATGACAGAATCCATAGGAAATATAAAAAAAAGTGATGTCTACTTCTATACTATTTTTTAACTTGTATGACAGCTCACTATTCACCATCCATACAGCTAGATAAAATTAAAATTAAACCATGACCTGAAGAATGTTGTTTGAATAAATTAAATTTTGAAGCCATTATCATTTCGTTTTTGCGCTTTCACAGTCGTTTTTGGTCCTTACTCTCCTTCTCCGTGCTGTTTTTTTTTGTTTTTAGTAGTTTTTTTATCGTTTTTTAAAAAACATTGACCTTACTTTAGGATATCATTATCCTGTGTTATAAGGACGTTTTACAAACACAAATTTCACGCGGACAAACACCCAGATGCGAAGCAACTGTATGTGGGTCACACAAATAGTTGTCCCGTGTGGGGTCGAACACACGACCCCCGACGACGAAGCCAATGCCTTGGCAACTGCGCCACGGAGTCCTCAAAATTCTTTGACCTTCAAAAGTCCTTGATTTGTCCCTCCAGGCCGCCCACAGGTTATCAGGGCAGGCGACGAGCGTTTCCCGCTCGAACACGAACTACGCTACAGGCTAAACGACATCGTGCATGATGGTGAGTACCTTAATTCGACTATTTACTTCTCCAATAGAGTACAGTATAAAATTAGTAGAAGGATAGAAGAAAAGTTTTTCACCCCTGAAAAATTGGAATCTTTTAAAAGAATTACTTCGAAACTGTACGCGCAGGACCGAGATATGTGGAATCATATGTTAAAAACCAAATGTCCTGGCTACGGAATTGAAGAGACGATGGAGATGATAGACGAAAAAGAACTCTACGAGAATTTTCCTAGAAAACCCACGGCGGGGAGATGAATGAGTGTTGAGACGAGTGTATGGAGTAGAATGGAGTTGGTCCAATAGATAGGCGAAAAATAACTTGACGAGAATTTACCTACTGAACCCGATAAAAAAGTAAAAAGTAAAGTAACAGCCTATTGAGTTGAAATAACAGCCTTTGAGTTGAGAGATAAAATAACAGCCTTTGGAGTTCTCCGACCGACAGTTTATCCTCTGGAAAGTGAGTCCCGGAAATTACTGCATAATCAAATACAAATTAATAGCAATCATCATGTAGAAATACAGGCTGAAAAAATTTTATCATAATAAATTGTGTGGTCCTGGTACATTAAACCACAAAATATCATGATTATGCTAATCATCTATATCTTATAAGTAAAGTAAAGTATCAGCCTATTCTGGGCCCAATAGCCTATACTATCCCACTGCTGGGCAAAGGCCTCCTCTGCACAGAGGGTATCAGGGCATAGTCCACCACGCGGCCCCTCTGCGGATTGGCGGACTTCACATATCTTCGAAAAAAATTTTTTTTGTTATTATTTCGAAAATATGCAGGTTTCCTCACGATGTTTTCCTTCACCGCGGAGCACGTGATAAGTCAGCACTTTAAGTTAAAAACTTCATCGGTGCCGGCACCGGGGATCGAACTCGGGTTGCTCGAGTATATTGAATTAAAGGCGAGCGCCCGGACGCTGAGCTATCACGGCTCTGAACCCGTTGCGTGGAGATAAATGAGTGTCGAGAGGAGAGCGAGTAGAGTAGAGATGTTTCGCTTGAAATATTTAGCGACTTCAAAACACTTCCGCTAACAACGCAGCCGTGACGGAGTCAAGACGCCGCGCGATGGACACGCAACGCTTGACCCTGGACTTGAAGCAGGCGATACTCGAGGGCTACGAGGTCCAAATAGAAGCCAAGCAACGCGTCGAGGAGGGTACGTGATAATCTACTCCATACATGCAAAAACGCTTTGTATACTCTGTCACGAATTATAGTGGTATAGTAGTGTGTGGTTCACCTGATGTTCAGTGATAACCGCCAAACTGTGTACGGTCTTTACGAACCGTTACGACCTGGGAACCTTCAAGAAGAGAGCTTACTCTTTCCTAAAAGGCCGGCAACGCATTTGTGAGCCCTCTGGTGTTGCAGGTTTCCATGGGCGGCGGTGATCACTTACCATCAGGCGAGCCTCCTGCTCGTTGTCACTTTTTTCCCATAAAGAAAACATGGAGATTTGCAACGACCCGAATGGCGTAGTGGGTAGTGTACCTGCATTCTGGGTTCGATCCCCACCACTTGAAAAATATTGTGTGATGAATATAGTGTTTTTCCAGTGTCTGGACTAGAGAACGTTGTGTACAAAATGTGTCCTAAAATATTTATTTATTTATTTATTTACATGCAAAAAGCTCTGAAAACTCTGAAACTCACGAGCTATAGTAAGGTTTTTTTATTTGATTTTTTTTAGTGAGAAGGTGGCAGGCGAGCTGTGCGTTTCACGTGGTGCTCAGTGATAACTCCCAACAGTGGATTTTTGCAACACTCGCAGTGTTGCAAATGCGTCGCCACCTTTTAATAAAGTGGGCCCGGTTAACTCACTCGCCAGACGCAGAAGTATAACAACTCCACCTCGGGCCGGTCTTCTGTGAGGTCCGTACATTCAGGAAGTACCGCGACTTCCCCCGAAAGGCCAGCCAGACAAATTACTTATAGCAATACTAGCTTTTACTAGTTAACTTACGTTTGCCGCTATTGATGAAGCCCAGACAAACTGTCGGATCTGATAGACGTTCTCTACGCACGTCTTAAATCATACAACAACTTATAAATCACTACATAGTATAAAACAAAGTTAAGTTATCAATCCTGCAACCGAAATGCAGCTCTACTCGTAAATACATTTATTAGAGCTGGAATACACATTTTCAAAGAACGAAATAGGATTCAACATAATTTTGAAAGTCTAGAATACTCTAGAACTGTCTAGAACGAGCACAGATATGACTGACGTACCATATTTCAGCTCTGGATAGGGCATTCGGCGAGCCACCGGCGGCGTCCAAGCCATATCACTACTTCATGGCGAGACGGATCTCCGACGCGATGGGACGCACGGAGCCCTATCCGGGTAAATCCTGTGAGTAGAGATGAGTATTACGTCTGTGATAACTGGATAGGACGACTCCGTGGCGCAGTTACCGGGTATTGGCTTCGTTCGTGGGTTCGATTCGCACGCGAGACGACTATTTGTCTCGCCCACAGATTTTTTCGGTTCTTTTTTATTTTTATTTATGTGAGAGAGTGGCAAACGAGCTGGCGGTTCCCCTGATGTTAAGTGATAACCGCCGCCCATGGACATTTCCAACTCCCTTAGGGTTGCAAATGCGTTGCCACCTTTAAATAAAGTGGGCCCCGGCTACCTCACTCACCAGACGAAACGCAGAAAAGTAATACTTCTACTTTACGCCGGTCTTCTGTGAGGTCGTGGTACTAACCCGGACGGACCTGCCCATTCGTGCAACAGTGTTGCGTCGCCCTACCACCGTATCTGAGTGTTTGTCAGCGAGAAATTTATGTGTTTAAAACTTCCTAACAACGCTAAAAGACTAACATAGATTTTCTAGTTGGGGTTCCATACCAATAAATAGAATGAATTTGTTAATGCGCCAAGCATTGGTTGATATGATAAATAATTGGTTGATGTAATGTTATATGTATATTGGTCCACATCCTGATTATAGCCGGATGTGGAGCAAATAGTGAATGTGGAGGGAATTTGTCGATGATGAAGCTATAGATAAAATTGGAGAAATTGTCTTTTTGTCGTCACAGGTGGACAAGGGCCTCATGTTAATTAGGATTCCGTAACCAAAGGGTAAAATGGGACCCTTTTATTAAGACTCCACTGTCTGTCTGTCTGTCTCTCTGTCTGTCATCAGACTGTGTCTCATGAACCGTGATAGTGAGAAAGATGAAATTTTCACAGATGATGTATTTATGTTGCACATCATTTATTGCACATCCATTAAGTAACAAAAGGTGTTAGGGTAATTAGTAAAATGGTTCTTTATGGACCCTGTTTATAGGGCATAGTACAACACAAATCATAAATTCGGATTTTCATGTGAGAAGATGGCAAGTGAGCTGACGGTTCACCCGATGCTAAGTGATATCCGCCGCCCATGGACATTGCAACACCCGTAGGGTTGCAGATGCTTTGCCACCTACTAATAAAGTGGGCCCCGGCTGCCACGCTCACCAGACGAAACGCAGAAGTATGAAACGTCCACTTAACGTCACTTAACGTCACACACACACACACACACACACACACACACGCACACGCACACACTCGAGCCGTTCCCTTCTTTGATTTCTCTCTTTTTGTTTTAGTAAATAATGCATTAGTATATTTTTAGTTCAGTTATGCAAATTTTTTTTCTGTTTACCTTTTGAACATGTGTTACCTTCATTATTATATGTATTTATATAGTGGAAAACTGTAATTGGCTTTCAATATGATGTGATAATCTGGAAGATATATTATATGATATGCTGTTGTTTTCCCGAATAAATAAATAAATACTTACCCGGACGGAACTGCCCATTCTTACAACAGCGAGGACTCGCTAGGTCATAACACAGTCAGTAAAATCTCAGCCGGACGGATCTGCCCATTCTTGCAACGGAACGGCGAGGACTGTCGCTAGGTCATACCACAGTCAGGAAAATGGGGGTCATCCCAATCGTTACTTTTACCTGAATGGCTAAGGTCCCGTCGAGCTGCCGTCTGAGATGAGACGTAGGTTGGAGCAGAACAAAGAAGATGACGAGTGCCGTTGCGACGAAGAGGAGACCGTGCTACCGGAGCCCTCCTTGACGGGTGAGTGTTGGTGATTTTCTAGAAGTGAAACTTCGCATTTTACTCGAGCAACCTGAGTTCGAGTCCCGGTGACGGCACCAATGAAATTGTTATTTTAATCGCTGACTTGTCACGGGCTCGGCGGTGAGGGAAAACATCGTGAGTAAACCTGCGTATTTTCGAAATAATAACGAAACAAAAATATTTCGAATATATGTGAAGTCCGCCAATCCGCGGTGGGGCTGCGTGGTAGACTATGCCCTTTGCACAGAGAAGGCCTTTGCCCAGCTGTGGGACATGTACAGGCTGTTACTTTAAACTTTGTAGGCGTTTCGATAGTTGGACGAGGATTTATGTATTCTTTCTTGAAAGTTATTCACCATGGGTTGGACTTAATGTCTATTGACATTCTCCACCATTAAGTCCGGGTCGAAGAGTTGTCATTGAAATCTTTGAAGAATGACATAACGCAGAGAGAAGATCCTACCTACATCTACATTTTACATGTACAATAAAGATTTACAATCTTTATTGATCTAATATTTACAAGATTGAATCTATCTAAAATTACATATTATCTAATAAACCTGCCACCACGCGGAATGGTGCCAAGAACGCTGCGCAAGAGCGAGAAAAGAACCAGCTCTCTTGTCACCAGTCGCGGCGTTAAGCCAAGGACATAAACTTTTAAAAAAATTTCATGTGCGGCGGCCCCACGGACCTAAAGTTTCAACAACAAATGACACAAATACATAATCTAAACATAAAGACTCATATTTGCGCCATTTACTTACTTCAGCTGCCTCCGATGCCGCCCTGGCCCTCAACGAAGTACCCCTTAGATGAGAGGCAGCCAAAGTGTCTACGCAAGTGGCGTCCCAAACCAGGGCTTTGCCTCTCTCCCAATAATGTCAATATAATCTTATCCTTTAAACGGGCAATTCTTGTATATATATATATATAGGGTGTTACAGAAAGATGTAACATTTAAAGGCGTGTATATATATCAGACTTTGAATCAAATGGCATAATTTTAAAATACGAATCTAAGCATTTTTTGACGATAAAAATTAAAAAAATAATTAACTGTAACAACCCTGATTGTAGAAGTCACTGACCGCGCATCGGTGTTATCACTCCAAACTCACACACGCATACATCTGATCGCCCGACTTATTCCCCTCTCCCTCCACTCCCCGTTACGTCATTACCCCACCTCGGTAACCTTGACCCCACCCGTCGCCAAACTGCCACGACGACCGCATCGCGCTGCAGTTCGCGGCGATGCTTAATAATAAAATCTGATTAACTTTTCTTTTGATTCCTGAATAAGTATTCACTATCGGGAAATAAAAGAAAGACACTGTTTTTACTACTTTTATTATTCTAAGTACATGTCCGCGTCGGACATAAAAACAATTTTTACATGGCATTATTATTAGTATCCTATAGTCGGTCAAACATGTCCACGATTTTAACAATTACTTACAACTAATTACTATTGAAATTTTGGAATAAACATTAAAGGCTTTACAATGACATTTTGAAAGGTAACAAATCATACAACGCCGATGAGTTTATTCAACACGACATCTATGATACAATCGGATAACAATAACAAGAATATTTTTTTTATTAAGATCAGTGTAAGGTATAAAATGATGTTTATTAAATACCTAGACTTTCTAATGAGATCAGCGTTTACTGAGTCAACCGCACACCCGTGCTTATCGGTTTCAGTTAGATAGCGGGCCACTATTATTTCACTGTAATAGCATGTCAGAACATAGACATTGTCACAACTTAAAACACACCGAAGTCCGAATAAAAATTCCCATAAAACCGGAGCGCTTCTTCATTTGCAAAGAAACGACGCGTACACGTGACGGTTCACCTGATGGTAAGTGAATACCGCCGCCCATGGACATCTGCTACACCGGAGGGTTCCAGATGCGTTGACAACCCTTTGACAATTGGGCTCCGGCCACCTCAATCACCAGACGAAACGCGAAAGTATTTATCATACTTCCACTTTATGATGTCTAGAGTTCTAGAAGTTTCCGTGTCAACGCTTACCGTTTCCAGACGAGCGAGGGTCGCGTCTGCTGCCCTCTCAGCTGAGGGCATTGGAGGAGGCGAAACGGTGCAAGTGTGACCTGGAGCCATCGTCCGAGGGCGAAGGTAACTGCTACCTCATTTATATGAACGTTTATTGAGCGTTATTGATATTATCAGAGATAAACAACTTGAAGTTACAAGAGAATTTACATTACTAGGAATAGACATAGACACACACATCAATTGGAAAAAACATACACAAAAAATAAGTACCTAGTAAAATATGGCGTTTCACATATGCACTCAATGAAATTAAAAAATCTACTGACTTGAAAACTGCCCTTGCAGTATACTATGCCTATTCTTTTGCATGGCTTAACTACGGATTGAGTCTCTGGGGGAATAGCACAGGTGCTCCTGCAATTTTTACACACAAAAAAAGCTTATAAGAATCCTAGTTAATATAAAGCAAACAGATAGCTGTAAACCCCACTTTAAAAAGCTAAATATACTCACCTTACCAAGTTTATATATATACTAGCGGCCCGCCCCGGCTTCGTACGGGTATTTAAGAAAATTTTTAAAACTAAAAATTATCATACACATAAAATATTCCGAATATTTCGTCTTTGGTGAATAATTTTATGAATTTCTTCATCTTTTAATGAAATACCCTTGAATTACGTCATGAAGATCGAAAGACCGCTGACTAGATAATGGTTCCGCTTCAATTACGGGACATTCGGGGTTACACGTAAAAGTGACAAATAAGTCTGGTCTCCCATAGCTTCGGACATAAATCATCGCATCTTCGGTTTTTTTGTTGACCGATATTTGATAAGCCAATATCTTAAAGATGGCAACTCATTTGCAACCCTACAGGTGTTACAAATGTCCATGGGGGGCGGTTATTACTTAACATCAGGTGAACCGCCAGCTCGTCTGCCACTCTATCACATTAAAAAAAAATCATGTTTTATTATCTTCATTCAATACAGAAGTATTACACTCATATATTGTCAAAAACACTACTACTGTCAACATTGTCTATAAAAACGGCCAAAAAATTATGTCTCTTTTATGGGAGCCTCACTTATTTATATTTTTTTTGTTTTTTTGGTATTTTTTGTTATAGTGTGTAACATCCTCCCCGACTCCACCAGTGGGAGATCGGTGTAGGGGTTCGCTCCGGCTGACTCAATCGGACCGATCGAGACCACAGGGTGAGGCTCGGTGACCCAGTCACGGGGACGGACAGAATTTATTTTAAATAGGCGCCAGCCCGCCCCGTGCGAGACAGAATAATGCTTATTCTAAGGGATTTACTTAGTGGAAATAAAAGATACATTCCTTAACAGTTTTAGAGTTTATTGATACAAGGTTTGAATATAAAACTAAACTATATCAAGTTAAAAATATAGAAGGAGTGAGATCTCACCAATCAGGCATTATATTATATCAAGATTAAGATTTGGGAGTACATTAGATTAATCACCGTTACATAGCAGTATATAAACACAATCATCAGTTTAATGGCTAGATATAGATTAGAGCAAAAACATACCAGAAGGAACCAGGCTTGCCTTCCTGGTTTCCAAATAAGTGTGAAGACTTCAGCTTAGCAATGCTCACATGCCACCGAGGGGCATTCAGCTGTCCGCGGCTTCAAGTTGCACGTGGACAGCAGGACCTCAGATTCTTAATATATATGCAGTTGCATATAAGGCGAACACGCGGTTCGATATCAAGCCATCAGAGAGAAGCAGATCAGCGAGATACAGTAGAATAGAAATAGAAAGAGAAACCAATACAAAAAAAAAACCCTGTAACAAAATACCAATTGTTAACAAACGAATGATGGACCGAAAACAGTCAGATCCCAAAAATATATGCACAAAGGAAACTTACCAACGATGTGGGTTTTTTTATATAAAATATAAAGGCCAAGAAGCCATATACAAGTAGGATGTAAAAGGATGTGCCCTAGGATGCCACATACTCCTTTCCTACATTCTCGAACTATGCAGAGGCGCTGCCGCCAGGCGGCGGCCGCCTCAGAGCTCCAATAAGAAAAGAATGAAAAGATCAAGGCGAAGCTGACTGCCGTTCTCGCAGGAACGACAGATGATACAAACAACAGACTATGCTAAACAAGACAATGTTTCTAATCGAAAATTATGTAAAAACAAATTTGCTTGATATCAGTTCAACATAATTAAAATGATAGTATTTTATATTTATATTTTATTGTCTTATATATTATATATAAGACAATAAAATCACTAGTACCGAAATAATCTAAGGAAATAAACAAAGACAAAACAACAAGGTGACCTAACGCCATCTATGATAAATGAAATATAGATTTTCTAAGGATCCCATTCAACTAAATTATATTTTTCACGATAGATATCGCTATACGATCCACTATGGATTGCCAATATAAGGCACTCGAATCTTAAGGGTATGAGGCGTCGAAAAAAAAATGTTACAAGTGGCAACAGAAATTCATCGTTTGTGAAAATTTCAACTGTCTATCATGATTCATGAGATACACCCCGGTGACATATGGATAGACAGACGGACATCTTAGTAATAGGGTGCCGTTTTACCCTTTGCGTACGGAATCCTGATAAGTCCCAGTAATAATGCAATGGCTTAAAACAGGAAGCTTTAACCATCAACCTAAATGCATACAATTGCATGCATGTCATAGTTTTTTTACGCACAGTACTTTGCTGAGGAATAGTCAAATATTAACCGTCTTCTCCTATTACGACTATTAAGGGATATTTTTATGGATCATACAATCGGTGTAACTCAGAGACCCTTTTAAGTTGGCCGTGTCTACCGTGCAACACTATATCTCTGGAGCCTTTTTAGGATGCCGTACCCAAAGGGTAAAACGGGACCCTATTACTAAGACTCCGCTGTCTGTTTGTCCTGTTGTCAACAGGCTGTATCTCATCAACCATGATAGTTACACAGTTGAAATTTGATCTGGGTATTTTTTTCCTAAGGAGGGTTGACGTCAAGCAGGCGGCTGGTTGTAAAAATATAGCCAAAACCGCTTACAACATGATTCATGTTGTGCCGACCCCACCTAGATGGGATAGGGGCAGGAGGATAATGATAACTTGTATACTTGTCCCTCTATTTTAAAAGTTCGCGTCAAACGAAGTCATTTGAAAGAGGCTATTGTACTTTCGGATGTTGGTTAAAAATGTCCTGATGGTGAATGATTATTTGCAAAAAGATTTTTTATTGGTTGTGGCAGCTCCTCAATATTGGGAAGACTACCTTTTCTAGAAGCACAGCACATACCATTTGGTTCATCGACCCATTTTTGGCAAAACACTTAGAGCAGATCTTATTCGTGGCTACGATTTGGACGGAAGACTGTTGAGCAAAATGCATGAAAGCTGATCTGTTACTGTGAGCTAAAACTCTATCACGAACTCTAGTCGTTGACGTTTGTTATCTTTCTCTCTAATCTCGTATACGTTGGGAACTCTCAGACCTCGATTCCCTAGTGTGAATTTGTATATTTATATTATTATACTCTTCAAACCACTGCAAACACTCTATTTGACTCTCTGACTTGTAAGGCGATATTCAGTTTCCGGTAAAGATTCCTCATTATGACGTATTTTTAATGTCCTCGCCTAGGAACTATTTCTAGAAAGATGCGATCTTGATCTTTTGGGCATTTTAAAATGATAAAAAAATTAAACTTCCTCAGTATTTAATAATCTGCTAACTGTTGAACAGGAATTACCACTATAAATGTGATTAAATACTTATAAGAACTACTAAGTCAGTCACTAAGCTGTTTGGATAGTTAAATTACAATGTACTAACATTTGTAAACTTGCAATATCTAAGGAATGGAATGTCCGAATTTAATAATTCAAAAAGTTTTATAAAGATATTGAAACAGTCTTAAATATGAAGTAATTTATTTTTATAAGGATTAATACCGAGATACAAATAAACAGCCTTTGTTAGGGGCGGCATTTCAATCAAAATTTTAAAATAAAAGATCACTTATTGTGGCTTAACTATAATAGTTAGACATATGCTGTCGCGACACTTTTTGTAAATAATGATGTGATCTGCAAAGTCGTAGTAAGTTACTATATATTATATATTCTATCATCAATAGTTTTCGCAGCGCACGCGATGTAAAGAATATTGTTACGTGTTAGGGGTTCGAAGGATTTGGAGAGAAAGACCTGCTGACTCTTTTGAAGACTTTATTTACTAGCGCTAGGTCCAACACAAAGCACTAGGTCCAAACACTAAGCACTGACGATGTCCGAAGCCAAGTCGTAGGTATCACTGGTATCGCTCTTGATCACTAGTTTTCACTCCGAAGTCGCCTCGAAGGTAGCTCAAACCGAACTGTCTTCGCTCGCCTCCCCGCGGCTTTTTATATGGGCCGAGACCGGTTCCAGACTAATCCCGAAAGGTCCTTCCTGGAACGTACCCGACACGCCCGAACATGTTCGTGATTCCGGAAAGTTCGCAAATGGTTCATCGACCCATTTTTCGAGACTATAGTTCCACAGCAGTTCCTCTAACGCCATCTAGTATTGAATAGGGGGTTTTATGTCGTCTTTGTTATTTAGTGATTTTAATAGTTGACGCTAGATGGCGTTAGTTCCTTTGTGTGTTCATAACAATATTTTAGGTAATTTTTGTACACCTTGAGTAACATTATTGGAGTTTTATTAAGGATCCCTAATTTTTTTTAAATGTTATGTAGCCTATGTTAAGCAGGGATAATGTAGCTTCTCAACAGTGAAAGAATTTTTCAAATCGGTTAAGTAGTTTCGGAGCCTATTCGATACATACAAACAATCAAATCTTTCCTCTTTATATAATAGATAGTTTCGGAGCGTATTCGATACATACAAACAATCAAATCTTTCCTCTTTATATAATAGAAGATGAAATATGTAAATTTGTTCGAAAAAATCCTTGGCTTTATCAAAAGCGCAGTGAAATTCTTGTACAATACAACTTACGACATAAAGACAGACTAATGCAACCCACTTCTACACTACAATTATACTCAACGAGTCCCTATGTAATGACCATCAAAATATATAACAAACTACCGTAAATATTAAAAGACGAAAAAAACGATAAACTTTCCTAAAAAAATTAAAAGACTTGTAAGTAACAAGTCTTTTAATACCAAGTCATATTATGACATAAAAGAATATTTTGGAGATATCTTGGATATTATAGATATAAATAACACATAATGATCTTACATCATAAATATATTAAACAAATTACTCATAATTAATATATAAATTAAAACTAATAAATATTACTTATAAAAATAAATAGCCACTCAAAATACCAACTACTTATACAAGTACCTCATTAAATTACCTAAGTGATACATCTTGCTCTCTCCGAATTTATGATTTGTTTTGTGCTATGCCCTATAAACAGGGTCCATAAAGAACTATTTTACTAATTACCCTAACACCTTTTGTTACTTAATGGATGTGCAATAAATAAATATTAGAGACGTTTTAGGGTTCCGTACCCAAAGGGTGAAACGGGACCCTATTACTAAGAGTCCGCTGTCTGTCTGTCTTTCAACAGGCTATATCTCATGACACATAATAGTTTGACAGTTGTTTTCACAGGTGATATATTTCTGTTGCCGGCTACAACAACAAATACTAAGAAACAAAATAAAAAATATATTTAAGTGGAGCCTCCCATACAACAGACATAACATTTTTGCCGTTTTTATAGATTTATGGTTCGGAACACTTCGAGCGCGAGTTCGACTCGCACTTGGCCGCTCGCTCATGGACATTTGCAACATCCGTAGGATTGCATTGCTGCCATATTTTTGATATAATGTCAAAAATAAAATTTAGAAGATATGCGAAGTTCGCCAATATCGCAGCGGGTTGTGGTAGACTATGCCCTGATACCCTCTGTACTGTAGAAGCCTTTTCCCAGCAGTGGGATATTTATAAGCTGTTACTTTACCTACACTTTTTATTTGGTTCCTTGACTTACCCGACTTGCATTAACGAAATGGTTGACATAAAACACATGGATTTTCTTTCGACTTACATCCGAAGTTGAGCTTAAATGCTAATGGGTACGTTCATGACGTAAGATGTTATTATAAGTATATATAACTACAGTTTTTAAAAATTCAAGAGCTTCGTCAAAATGTTGGTATGGGCACGATCTCCTCCAATACTAAATATATTTCTTAAAAGGGTAACTTAATTCATTAATTTTATGTAACACAAAATGATCGTAATAAGACCAAATAAAGAAGTATCTTCAATTTGTAAATAGCATATTATTTTTATAATACTTATAATTGTGTAATGCATATGTGTAATGTCGTTATTTATTTTTAAGTAAAACGTTAATTCTAGTGGCACTTTTATTTGTTATTATTTAATTATAAAGGATGTATGTTTCAAAAAGAGAGAGATAGATGTTAAAAATTGACATTTAAAATATTCGTTCAAATTTATTTTCCGTTACTACATCATCCTCTCTTACACAAAACAAACCAAAAACTACCACCATACTCTTCAACCCTTTTCAAAACACAAATATTGACCGCCATTAACTATTTCTATTCCTATTAATTTCTTCATAGCTTTCGTAATAATATAATTTTTGCGATTTTATTTCAGAAGCTGCTTCTGATGAGATCACAGATTATGATGTCGAACAATCCACAGAAGGCGATGAAGGGAACTGATTAACTGGCAATAGTTGCTCTGTGGACAAGAAATTAAATGCTTTCTCCTTTTGGTATTTTCATTGCTTGACTATTGAAGGTTTAATGACAATAAAACAATAAAAAATATTTGTGTTCGGTAATTAATTTGAATTCAGTAACATTGAAAACTTTTTCAATTCGAAATTGCCAGCTGTAAAAATTAAACTTCCGTTTCTGCTTAAATTATTGAAATGATTTGTACGTATGACGCTATAGCAAAGTTTCGAGATAACAAAATAAACTTATAATTGCTTTCATTATTTCAACAGAACTATTTTTTTTATTTTAACAAAGTAGGTAACTACAGACTCGTGGTCCGTACTCTTTTTTGATTAACATGGTTTTTTTTTTTATTTTTTTTTGTAAATTTTCTGTTTGGGCTCTCACCGCCGCATACATCAACCGGGCTGGTAGCGGTGCAGCAGTGAGTTCTTATTTTTTTGTTTTTATTTTTTATTATTATGGGGGATATTCATTTGTTTTCTCGTCTGGTTGGGTTTATAAATAAAAATAAAAATAAAGATATAGATATTATTATACTTATTCGCTCATATACAAAAATAAGTGAGACATTACAAGTACACTTCAAATCATGCTGGCATGCACTCATTAAATTACTAATACAGTTAATCAGATCGGCTTAATAAATTATAAATTATTACCAAGCACGATTTATTATATAATATTATACCAGGTATGGTTTAATTTTGATTAGGTATAATTGCTATTACTCTTACATATGACGCAGTGTTGCCAGTGTATCACTTGTGTGAATGCTCAAGGTGGTCTTAACTCCAACTTAACAACTTAACAAGCAACAGTTGTTACTTCTGTGCGTTACACTCGTGTTTAAGCCGACCTCAGATCTCCTATCTATAACATGTATAGATATAAAACTATAGCGGAGCCTTCTAGAGGCGCTTAACCCCGTGGCCTTTTGAATTGAAATCACATTTTATAATTCCATCCTGATCTTATTTTAACAAATTGTTAGAAAAAATTTAAAATGTCTTTATTCAAATAGACGCCTGCGCGTTCTTATCTAACGTCGAATCTATACAGATAAATAAAATTCGAGTGTGCGTTTGTAATATTAAAATAACCGCATTTACTAAACGCATATTGATGTATACACGGTAAATATACCAAAATAACATTTTGTACAATTTCTGTCTGTCTGTTTGTTCCGGCTAATCTCTAAAACGAATGGATCGATTTGGACGGGACTTTCACAGGCAGATAGCTGATGTAATAAGGTAACTTAGGCTACTTTTATTTTAGATTTTTTTTTTATTTTAAATTCCACGCGGAGTCGCGGGCACAGCTAGTTTTACATAATAATTGATACATAAGTTCGTGTGAAGTTACCACCGATTCGGATGTTGAGAACAGACCGGCAAGAAACTCAACATTACCTATTTTTAAAAAGATCAGTTTACAATATAACATTTGTATAATATTTTTATTTTAGCCTACGTGAGCATCAAAAGTATTAACTCCACACATTGGCGTCGTCGAGATATTCCGCAATGGTATGATTTAGTTTGCTTTTAATTTTTTATTAAAATTTATCAATAATATAATATTGACTGTGGGATTTTATTATACATTCGCACAATGTGTCCCATGAACCAAATAAGTAAATAGGTCGAAGTAAAGAACAAGGATGGAATTGGAGACAAAGACCAATTATAAAACTAGCGATAAGCCTCTAAATTGAGATTGCCGTGGCACTCCAAGTTGTTACTTTTGTGGGCTAAAATTTTATATAATTTGTTATATATTTTTATATAATACCCACCTATATCTAGATAGAGTAGAGAGCTTTCTACACCATAACTATAACCGTGTACAACTATCTTAAGTTACATGTAAACATTAACGTAATATTTATTGTTTATTAGATTCTAATACTGTATTGACCATTCCCGCATCTACAAAATTATGTTGTTCTTCCAAATGTATGTACCAAACCCATTAGCATGTCTTTTGTCAATCTAATGATCTGTTTACCATTTCGATGCTATTTCATTTGTTGACATTACCCGTGTACTGTATAATAATTAAGCAATTAGCCAGTAAGTCATTCAGTTAACAATATTGTTTACAAATCGCACGTTATTTTTCGTATATATACCACTTTGTAATAGATCATAGAATAGTCAACATTTCAATCGCGTAGAATTACTAACTCAAACTCGAGTAGTTACTATATCGCTTGGTCAGTTACAATTTCTATTTCGAGTGTTACTGTATTATAAAAACATTACTACTAACATAACTACTGTATATTAAAAACATCCTGTCACAGACTACAAACCAAACAGTTGGTAGGATTTTGTGCGTAGTGCATAAAATACAAAGTGAACGTTTAATCTTAGAAGAACAAGATGGCCGGAGTGAAGAAACGCGTGTTGTAGCTGAAGCTGGAGGAACTGTGTGGCTCCTCGTCGCAAAGATGTACTAAAGCAGTTATTTAAGAGTGGAAAGCAATGATTTTCTTCATGATTGTGTCGACGATGAGGTCAGAGATACTTTCTAAAGAGCGTGTATACAAACCGTAGAAAGATGGATCATGAAAGTTCCTGTTATAAGATTTGTAGAGAAATGGATGTAACAAAATGCAGGTCGCTGGTTTTTGAAAAATGTATGACTTGAGTTTTGAATGATACACTTAAGCAGTTGGAGTGTAATGACGAGGCAGGAATTTAGTGCTCCTAGCTCCGTGATCTATTGCGGAGGAGTTGTTCAGTGTTGCCGTAACATGCCGCCCGGGTTGAAGTATTTTACTAAAGATGATGCTTTGGAGACCAAGAGTGGACATATGTTGTTGTCGGACCTCTGGGTGACTCCTTTCTTGGTTAAGATTGCTGCTACACGGTTGATGTTGTCTCCTCCGGGGTGAACTTTTAAGACTCTGAGAAGCCAAATCAGTGGTGGTTGGTTCTTGTCTTTGACCAAGACTAATTCCTGTTGCAGAACACCTGATGAAGAATTCCATTTGAGTTTTTGTTGAAGAATAGATATGTATTCCAAAGAAAAACGCTGCAAAAAGTGTTGCTCCAATTTTCGTGTCAATGACCTTAGGATGAGGTGATAGTAATGAGAAGTAAATTTGGTATAAAAAGTTTTTGTTTTCTTTGATGCAGGCTTGAGAGAAGTGTTTTTTCTTTTGGTTTTATGTGCTGATAAATTGTAAGGCTATAATCTAATTATTCCGAATCTTAGAATTTTATGATGGGATAGTTGGTTGTCACATTGAAGAACGCATGGCGGTGAATTGTCAGAATGTGGTCAGAATGTCGAGCCATCTGTCATCTAGCGACTGGAACTTATAGATTTGTGCGGCAAATGTAGAAGCTGTGCGAATCTCTTTGTTGAATCCGTTGCGCAGTTTAATTTTTATTGCTAACAAATCGATACATTGGTCTTAGTGCTTCGTGTCCGTTGCGTCTGAAGTACCTTTGAGACATTTCAATAGCGAGGCAAGACCATCTAATAGGTCCCTTTTCTGTCTAGATTTTTTACTAGATTGACACACGTTTAATTCGGATAAACTGTTATCAATTTTATTTAAATTTACTTTTAAATGGGATTTTGTCATGAATACATTTGGAAGTGATGCGTGTTTTAAAGCAAGTTGTTGACATTCAGTAGAAAGACGTAGGAGAGATTCTTGAGCGAAGAATAGAGGTCACGATACATTATAAGTTTCCATGATTCATCAGATATTGGAATTGTCCTTTCTTCTTTATAGAAAAGACTGGAGCGAGGTGGTGAATTTGGTACCTTGATCCATTAATTTAATTGACTCGTCGAACCTAATTTTATGAATCGTTGTTGATGAAATTATTTGTATTTGTTTCTGCATTAATGATCTAAGATATAATTCTCATATTCCTTACAAATCGATACATTCGTCGTATTGCTTCGTATCCGTTGCGTCAGGAGTACCTTTGAGATATTTTCAATATCGAACCAAGACCATCTAACAGTTCCCTTTTCTGTATAGAGTTATTACCAACATTCATGTTTAATTCGGATAGCCTGTTATCGATTTTCTCCAAATTTACATTTAAATTGGATTTTGTTCGAGGACACATTTGGAAATGATGCGTGGTTTGAAGTAAGCTGTTGAAAGCTAGCAAAAAACTTTTTTGTGCAGAACAGAGGTTTGGGATGACGATATATTATAAGTTTCCATGATTCATCAGATATTCAAAATGTTCCTTCTTCTTTATAGAAAAGACTGGCGTGATGTGGTAATTGTTCAGTAAATTGGTTTATATTGGCAACGAGTTTCGTTTTTTGCACTGAAACGAGAAAATTCTATCTTAGGACTTTCTGATTTATTTTAATTTCTTAAATAATTTCTAAAATACTATTTTTAAAATTAAAACTATTACATAACTAATATAAGGGTTATTTAATTATAATTTATTGTGTAGGGTTTCTAAGAAACTAGTGGGATGAGATGCGGTAGAGCACCTGGCCCTGTGTATTACGTAATTCACATAATACATAATTCACGTAATACACAGGTATTACGATATACATCACTCAATCACGTAATTAGCATCACTTTGCTTCCTGATTCGTATTGTTACTAAATTCTTTATTTTGATGTCGTATCTATCCTTAGCTTTATCTATTATAGATTGGATGTCTGGATCTACTGTAATTTGTAGTTATTTGGGGCGAAGAAGTTGTACTAAAGTTATGTTTAATGCACATTGTATGTTCGAAATTTATTTGCTTGCACGATTTGATTTCGATTCGATTTTTTATTACGTAACTAGTTATGGTTAAAACCGCCACGTGTGACTTCAAAAGGTCCATCCCATTGTTTGGATTCGAATCTCGTATCACTTTGCTTTCTACTTTGCATCTTACTTGGAGTTTGCATGTCGTTGCATACAAACGTTTGAAAGCTAGTAGAAAGACGTAGGAGAGATTCTTGTGAGAAGAATAGAGCTCACGATAAGTTTCCGTGCTTCATCACATTGAAATTGTCATTTCTTCTTTATAGAAAAGACTGGCGTGAAGCGGGAAATTCGGTACCTCGATCCGTTGTCTTCATTGACGATTTGGCCATCAACCCTAATTTTGTTGATGAGATTATTTGTATTTGTTTCTGCATTATTGATGTAAGACCTAAGTAATTATCATATTCCTAACAAATCGATACATTCGTCGTAGTGCTTCGTGTTCGTTGCGTCTGGAATACCTTTGAGATATTTCAATAGCGAGACACGACCATCTAATAGTTCCCTTTTCTGTCTAGATTTTTCACTAGATTGACACATGTTTAATTCGGATAAACTGTTATCAATTTTATTTAAATTTACTTTTAAACGGGATTTTGTCGAGAATACATTTGGAAGGGATGCGTGTTTTAAAGTAAGTTGTTGAAAGTCAGTTGAAAGACTTAGGAGTGGTACTTGTACGAAGTATAGAGGTCATGATATTATATTATTTAAGTTTTCATGATTCATCAGATATTGAAATTGTCCTTTCTTCTTTATAGAAAAGACTGGCGTGACGTGGTGAATTCGGTACCTTGATCCATCGTCTTCATTGATGATTTGTTCGTCGAACCTAATTTTATGAATCGTCTCATTGGATTTTGTTCGAGGACACATTTGGAAATGATGCGTGGTTTGAAGTAAGCTGTTGAAAGCTAGCAAAAAACTTTTTTTGTGCAGAACAGAGGTTTGCGATGACGATATATTATAAGTTTCCATGATTCATCAGATATTCAAAATGTTCCTTCTTCTTTATAGAAAAGACTGGCGTGATGTGGTAATTGTTCAGTAAATTGGTTTATATTGGCAACGAGTTTCGTTTTTTGCACTGAAACGAGAAAATTCTATCTTAGGACTTTCTGATTTATTTTAATTTCTAAAATACTATTTTTAAAATTAAAACTATTAAATAACTAATATAAGGGTTATTTAATTATAATTTATTGTGTAGGGTTTCTAAGTAACTAGTGGGATGAGATGCGGTAGAGCACCTGGCCCTGTGTATTACGTAATTCACATAATACATAATTCACGTAATACACAGGTATTACGACATACATCACTCAATCACGTAATTAGCATCACTTTGCTTCCTGCTTCGTATTGTTACTAAATTCTTTATTTTGATGTCGTATCTATCCTTAGCTTTACCTATTATAGATTGGATGTCTGGATCTACTGTAATTTGTAGTTATTTGGGGCGAAGAAGTTGTACTAAAGTTATGTTTAATGCACATTGTATGGTCGAAGTTTATTTGCTTGCACGATTTGATTTCGATTCGATTTTTTATTACGTAACTAGTTATGGTTAAAACCGCCACGTGTGACTTCAAAAGGTCCGTCCCATTGTTTGGATTCGAATCTCGTATCACTTTGCTTTCTACTTTGCATCTTACTTGGAGTTTGCATGTCGTTGCATACAAACGTTGAAAGCTAGTAGAAAGACGTAGGAGAGATTCTTGTGTGAAGAATAGAGCTCACGATAAGTTTCCGTGCTTCATCACATTGAAATTGTCATTTCTTCTTTATAGAAAAGACTGGCGTGAAGCGGGAAATTCGGTACCTCGATCCGTTGTCTTCATTGACGATTTGGCCATCAACCCTAATTTTGTTGATGAGATTATTTGTATTTGTTTCTGCATTATTGATGTAAGATCTAAGTAATTATCATATTCCTAACAAATCCGTTCCGTCTGGAATACATTTGAGATATTTCAATAGCGAGACACGACCATCTAATAGTTCCCTTTTCTGTCTAGATTTTTTACTAGATTGACACATGTTTAATTCGGATAAACTGTTATCAATTTTATTTAAATTTACTTTTAAACGGGATTTTGTCGAGAATACATTTGGAAGGGATGCGTGATTTAAAGTAAGTTGTTGAAAGTCAGTTGAAGTGGTACTTGTACGAAGTATAGAGGTCATGATATTATATTTAAGTTTTCACGATTCATCAGATATTGAAATTGTCCTTTCTTCTTTATAGAAAAGACTGGCGTGACGTGGTGAATTCGGTACCTTGATCCATCGTCTTCATTGATGATTTGTTCGTCGAACCTAATTTTATGAATCGTCTCATTAAAATTTTTCGAGACTACATTTGGTAATGATGCGTTCTTTGGAGTAAGTTGTTGAAAGCTAACAGGAAGACTTCTTGTGCGTAGAACAGAGGTTTGAGGTCACGATATATTCCAAGTTTCCATGATTCATCAGATATTCAAATTGTTTATTCTTCTATATAGTAAATTGGTTTATATTGATAACGATTCTCGTTGCTGCACTGAAACAGGAGATAATTCTATGTTAGGACTTTCCGATTTATTTTTATTCCTGAAATAGTTTCTAAGACATGTATAATTTGCATATGACAATTATGAGATGCTTAAAAAAAATTACATGATTATGAAATTTAATATAAGGTTATTTAAATAAAATATATTGTATAGGGTTTCTCAGGAACTAGAGGTGGAACGGTTGCTGTACAGCATCTGACGGTGTAAATATAGTTTTTTGTAAATGATCTACAGAGTTGATTGAATATAAGCGAATAGGTTGTACTAAACCAATGTTTATGCACATGATATGGTCATAGTCTTCGCATACAAGAGATGGTTTATGTATAACGTAATTATGAAAAAAAAAATGGTTAACACCTGTGACTTCAAAAGTCATCCCTTTTTGGTCTAAATTATTTGTATTCGGAACTCGTCAATATTTTGCTTTCTATTTTTTACTGTACTAAAGTTTTCATTTGGCTTTCGTATCTGTCCATAACTTTTTCTTTCATATATTGGATATTTGCCAAAGCATCCTCTAGAGACTTTAAATCTGCAAGGTACATTTTTTATGGAGTAAAATGAACGTGGTTTGTTACCGAATATCGATTCATAAGGTGTATAATTAGTAGAACTGTTTACTGCTGTGTTGTGACATATAATTGCAAAAGGAATTATTTT